GTCATTTTTTAAGGGGTTAAGGGTCTCATTTTTAAGGGTAAGGGTCGTCACTTTTAAGGGTAAGGGTTGTTATTTTATATTTAAGGTAAGGGTCTCATATTTAAGTGTAAGGGGTTATTTAAGGGTAAGGGTCGATTTTAAAGGGAAAAGGGCCCGTCATATTTAAGGAAAAGGGTCGTATTTTAAGGGATAGAGTCGTCATTTTTAAGGATAAGGGTCGTCATTTTTAAGGGGTAAGGTCGCTTTTTAAGGAAAAGGGTCTTTTCTTTTTAAGGGTTTTAAGGGTCGTCTATTTTAGGATAAGGGCATATTTAAGGATAAGCGTCGTCTATTTAAGGGAAAGGGTCGTCATATTAAAGGTAAGGGTGTCATTTTTAAAGGGTTGGGTCGTCTATTTAAGGGTAAGGGCCCCGTCTTTTTTTAAGGTAAGGGTAGCAATTAAGGGTAAGGGTCGCTATTTAAGGATAAGGTATCATATTTAAGGGTAAGGGTCCCCCAAAATTTAAGTAGGGTGTCATTTTTAAGGTAGGGTTTCGTTTTATTTAAAAAAAGGGGTGTCATTTTAAGGATAAGTGTGTTATTTAAGGGTAAGGGTCGCATTTTGGGTAAGGGTGTCATATTTAAGATAAGGGTCGTCATATTTAAAGGGTGGGGTCGTCATTTTAGGGTAAGGGTCTCTTTTTTAAGGATAAGGGTAGTCTTTTTAAGGGTAAGGGTCGTCATTTTTTGGTATGGGTAGTCTATTTAAAGGGGTAAGGGTTCAATTTAAGGATAAGGGTAGTATATTTAAGGGAAAGGGACGTCAGATATAAGGGATTTTAAGGGAGGTTTTAACCTTTACTACCTGGGATCATTAAGGCTACGCCCCTTTAATTTAACCCTAAAAAAAGGGTTTTTAAAAAAAAATCTTCAGTGAAATTTAACTGGATAAAAAACCCTATCGTGTATATATATCCTATTTTTGGTTCTTCTAATAAAATATTCGCTTTCTTTATTTTTTAAAAAAACAAATTAATACTACGACGTAACCAAAAAAAAGAATTGTTTAAAAGATAATCGGTTTTTAAATTAATGGTTTTTTTAATGACAATAGTTCAAAATATCATTTTTAACCCTGGGTATTTTGTAATGCCCGTTTGGTAAGGGTTTTACATGCGAGGTATAATAAACTTCAGCGTTTTGTATACCAAGGTTTATCTTGTCTTTAGTTTTTTTTTAAAACGTTTCATGAACCCCAGTGGGTTTTGCGCTTGGATTTGTTTTATAATGGGGATTCAAAAGTTCGGGAGCTAAAACGACCCTAAAATAGTAATAGCTTTCAAAATCCCCCCCCCCTTTTTTGATAACCTGCCTACGAAAAAAAATTGAGGTTCACCGTGACTTCGAAAGGTTTTTACGGGCCCTTTTAGACTTCGAAGTGATCTGAGGCCCTTTTTAGACTTGAATGATCTGACGGCCGTTCTTAGACTTAGAAATGATCGGGCAGCCATTCTTAACTTAAAATGTTGTGCCCATTCTAGACTTGAATGATCTACGGCCCTTCTTTGCCCTTAGAAGTGATCTGACGGCCCTTCTTTAATTTAAAGTGTCGACGGCCATTCTTAGATTGAAGCGATCTAGGGCCCCTTCTTGACTTCGAAGGATTGAGGCCCTTCTTAGATTGAAGTGATCTGACGCCCTTTTAATTTAGAAGATCTGACGGCCTTTTTTAGACTTTTGAAGTATTGACGGCCCTTCTTAGATTAAAGTGATCTGACGGCCTTCTTAGACTTAGAAGTCTTTTGAGGCCATTTTTGACTTTGAATGATTGACGGATTCCTTAATTGGAAGTGTTTTAGGCCATTTTGACTTAGAAGTGATCGACGGCCATTCTTGCTTAGAAGTGATCGACGGCCCTTTTTTTGCTTTGAATGATCTGACGGCCATTTTAGACTTAGAAGTGATCTGACGGCCATTTTAGATTTGAAAGGTTTGACGCCCATTTTTAGACTTAGAGTGACTGACGGCCATTTTAGACTTAGAAATGATTGACGGGGCCCTTCTTGATTTGGTGATCTGACGGCCTTCTTTGACTTTGAAATGATCTGACGGCCATTCTTAGACTTAGAAGTGATCTGCGCCCTTCCCTTTGATTAGAAATTCTGACGGCCATTTTAGACTTGAGTGTCTGAGCCCTTTTTTTAGACTTAGAAGTGATTACGGCCCCTTCTTTCTTAGAAGTGATTGACGGCCGTTTTTTGACTTGAAGTGTCGCGGCTTCTTGATTAGAAGTGATTTGACGGATTCTTGACTTTTTAAGTGTTGCGGCCCATTTTACTTTTTAAGTGATTGACGGCCATTCTTAGACTTAGAAGTGATCTACGGCCTTTTGACTTGAATGTTGACGCCCATTTTAGCTTAGAAGTGATCTGACGGCCATTTTGTTAGAAGTGACTGACGGCCCTTCTTAGCTTTGAAGTGATCGCGGCCTTTTTTAGCTTGAAGTGATCGACGGTCATTCTTAGACTTAGAAGTGATCTGACGCCCATTCTTAGACTTAGAAGTGATCTGACGGCCATTCTTAGACTTAGAAGTGATCTGACGGCCATTCTTAGACTTAGAAGTGATCTGACGGCCATTCTTAGACTTAGAAGTGATCTGACGGCCGTTCTTAAAACTTGAAATGATCTGACGGCCATTTTAGATTAGAATGATCTGACGCCCATTCTTAACTTTAAATGTCTGACGTCCTTTTTTGATTCGAAGTGATTGACGGCCCTTCTTTGACTTGAAGTGATCTGACGGCCCTTCTTTGACTTAAAAGGATTTTTACGGCCATTTTTTTAATTAGAAGTGTCTGACGGCCCTTCTTAGACTTAAAATATCTTTACCCATTCTTTGACTAGAAGTGATCTGACGGGCCCTTTTAGACTTAGAAGTGTTTTTGACGGGGGTTTTTTTCTTAGAAAATGATCTGCGGCCTTCTTTGATTAGAAGTGTTGACGGCCTTTCTTAATTAGAAGGATCTGATGCCCCCTTTTAGACTTGAAGTGATCTGACGGCATTTTTTTGATTAGAAGTGATCTGACGCCCCATTCTTACTTAAAGTGATCTGACGCCTTTTTGATTCGAAGTGATTGACGGCCTTTTTTTAGCTTTGAAGTGATCTGCGGCCATTCTTTGACTTAAAAGTGATCTGACGGCCATTCTTTGCCCTTGAAGTGACTCGCGGCCATTCTTAGCTTAGAAGTGATCTGACGGCATTCTTAGACTTAAAGTGATTTGACGGCCTTTTAGACTTAGAAATGATTGACGGCCTTCTTAGACTTAAATGACTGACGCCCTTCTTAGCAAAAATCCCTTTCGCGTTCACCCTTTTTTGAAGATAAAGCCTAACTGTTTTGTTTTGGGGCCCCCACCACCTCCCCCTTTTGTGGTCCGTGTATGGTCCTGTTGAGGGGTAGAACGGGCTTCTAATGGAGTGGTCCCGGGGTTTGGGGGGGCCCAAGTGGCCATCAACACCCCCGGGGACGCTAGAAAAAACCCCTACGTATTTGGGATGAGATCCAAGAGGCACCCCGGGTGTTTCACCACTGTGTGGAACCCCACCTGGTGAGTAAATGTTTTTTGTTTATTATTTTTTTTGTTGTAGTATTGTATTTTTATTACTATTATTTGTATAGTAGTTATTTTATTTTAAAAAGAACGCTAAGCCAAAAAGGGGTATACAGTTTATTAGTAGTAGTTGTATTTGTTGCAGTAGTGTTGTTTTTGTTTTTTTTATTAGGGAAATGTATTATTATTTTTGTTGTTAAATGTCTTATTTTTGGTTTGGGCACTTTGAACGTGTTTTTAGTCTGTCCCGGACAAATTTTCAGGGCAACGGTTTCGTTCCCGGAGGACCACTTTTCCCGTCCTTGTCTTTGTTGGTTTTTAATTGTGATTTTTCCCCTTTTTGTTTCCTTTTTACTTTTCTTTTCCTTTTTGTCTCCACGATATTTTTACTCTAATTTGATTTAAATGACTCAACGGTTAGCCCCCCGTTTTGGCCATCCAGGGTTCCCCTTTTTAAACTGTCTCCCATGTACTTCTTCTCCGTTTTTTTTCCCCCCAAGGGCGGAAACTTGCGCCAAGGCATGTGGGGAAAGGACCCCTTAAGAATGGATGCGTTGGGTTTTTGGGGGTTTTAATTCAACAGCACCTTGCAAGAATATTTTCGTCTCTACGCGCCTAAGGGCCCCAAGAACAGGGGCTGGTCACACAAATGTTCCCTTTTTTTTGAAGAAATACCTCAAATTTAAGTCGTTTTTTTCAGTGGGGTTTTCAATTTTGCGATTTTTTTGAGGAAAAAAAATTTGGGTTGTTTCCGGATTTTTTTTTAAATTTAGGCTGATTTTTTACATTGGATATTGCTAATTTTTGTTCTAAATCAAAACGAAATTTTTTTATATTAAGGGATCTTCAAAAAAAATTTAGGTCGATTTTTTAAAGGGAACTGCAAATTTAGGTCGATTTTAATTGGGTCTTCAAATTTTAGGTCGTTTTTCGATGAGAAATTCCTCAAATTTAAATCGTTTTTTTATGGGAAATTGCAAAAATTTCCCTGAGAAATCAAAAAAAATTTTTGTGATCTTGAAGGGTTTTCTGCAAAAAAATTACGAATCTTCAAATTTAGAGATTTAAAAATGGGGGGGGGGGGAAATAGGTTATCTTGATCAAAATTTCCCCATTTATTGCCATGTTTCCCGGGGGGGAGTTTCGGGGGGGGGAGAAATGACTAAATTGCTTCCTGAGAACCATACTTCCCCCTTTTTGTCTCGTCCTTCTCAGTTTAAAATATCCGAAAGGGACGTTTTTTCACTCCCTACCCCCCCGTTCTTATCTACCCTCCCCCCTCCCCCGCCACGGCATGTTTTTCCCCTTAAAGACGTTTTTGTTCCTTGTACACATGTGGTTTGGTTTTATCCCTAATTTTAGGTATTGTTCCATTCTGTTCATTGTCCTTGACGGTGAGTGTCCAGATGTGGTGGTGGTGACCTGCTGGGAGCCTTGACGCAGCGTCAGTACCTGACGGAGCACGAAGTGTGCGTCATCATACGTCAGGTGCTGCTGGGTCTGGACTACATGCACGACCGAAGCGTCGCACACCTCGGTCTTAACGTACGTCAACATCAACAACAAAACCAAACATAGCAACATATTTTCAGATAAATTTAGCCCGTCAGATATTTCAAATGAATTTAGCCCATCAGGTATTTTAAATAAACTTAGCCTTTCAGGTTTTTAAAATATAACTTCAACGAATGGCCCCGAAGTCTTTCTCTCTCTCTCTCTCTCTCTCTCTCTCTCTCTCTCTCTCTCTCTCTCTCTCTCTCTCTCTCTCTCTCCTCTCTCTCTCTCTCTCTGATCATCTCCCTAATCTCTCCTTCAACAGATTGGCGACATCCTGGTGGTTCGCCCCAACGGATTGGAGATCAAGATTGGAGATCTGTCTCTCGCTCGCCAGATCAAACTCAACGACCTGCAGCCTCTTGATTACGGTAAGAATGATGGACCAAGCAATCATACCTTAATCATCCTCTCGTGGAGATGATTCTGACGTGGTCTCATTGAGAGGGGTCCCTCTCCAAACGGGATACCTGGAGGGTATACCTTGGGAGTATACCTGGGAGTATGCCTAGAGTATCCCTGGGGGTATACCTGGAGGGTATGCCTGGAGGGCATACCTAGAGGGTATACCTGGATGGCGTATCTGGCCCGATCCATGACCAGGCCCAGTGCTTGTGTTGGGTTCTTAAATTTGGGGTTTCTGCGCGGGTTTGGGTTTTTTTGGGGGGATTGGGTTTCGACATTTTTGGGGTATTTGGGTATTTTGGGTAGTTTGAGTATTTTTTGGGGGGTAGTTACCTAGGCATTTTGAATACCGACCTTCTGTGAGCTATATATCTGACCTTGTATGACCTATATGTCTGACCTGACCAGTGAACTATATATCCTGACCTGGTATGACCTCTGTGACCTTGGAAGACCTTTCATGAGCTTGAATAACTTACGACCTTGGGTGACCCTATATGACCTTTGACTTGACCCTGTGTTGCTTTTGCATGACCCCTGTTGATCTTGATTGACCTCTTATGACCTTGAAGGACCTCTCCTGACTTTGTGACCCAAACTGACCTCCTGTGAGCCTGAAGAACCTTGACTAACCTTTCGTGACCTTGAATGATCTCTCGTGACCTTAAATGACCTCTCGTGATCTCAAATGACCTTCTCCTGCAGGGATGCCGGAGTACGTGGCACCGGAAGTGGCCAACAACGAGGGAGTGTCCTTCTCGGCAGACATGTGGGCCGTGGGCATTATCACGTACATACTGCTCTCTGGCACCTCACCCTTCAGGTAGGTCATGCTGGCTGGCACTTTATCTCTCTTCTTCTCCTGTGTCCCTCCCTCTCTAAAGTCCTCCATCCCAGATCTCTTTTCTCTCTCTCTCACCTTCCCTCACATCAAAATAAGTTTTTGTGAAATATAATTACTCATTCACAAATCAATAATTTCGAGGCAGATTACGTAATGTAGCTTAATTATCTTATTCACTTCTCTGTGTTTTCCAGTTCTCTCATTTCCTTTCAAGGTAAATTTATTCGCAAAACTTTGGTATTGTCATGGGAATTCCTCTTTCCCTGTTCTTGCTAAAATTTTTATGCAATATTTTGAAATTGACCTTTGGTATTGTCATGGGCATTCCTCTTTCCCTGTTGTTGCTAAATTTTGTACGCAATATTTCGATGGTGGTGTTGGCCGCCGCTGCAGGGGCGAGAATGACAGAGAGACACTGACGAAGGTGAGAAGGGAGAGTTAAACTTCAACATGGAGGCCTTCACACATATATCTGACGCTGCCAAGGACTTCATTGCTAAGCTTCTCATCTTTAAGGTGGGTTGTGTGTGTGTGTGTGTATACCTGGAGAGGGTGTGTATTTATATGTATGTGTGTGTCTGTGTATTTGTATTTGTGTGTATTTGTATGTATGTGTGTATGTATTTGTATTTGTCTGTGTGTGTGTGTGTGTGTGTGTGTGTATTTGCATTTGTGTATGCCTGTGTGTTGGTTTAGAAAGACACGTAAGCAAACACTATAACATATTTATTAGAAAACGTTTCGGTCCTGGGACCTTGATCACTTCTAAGTGATCAAGGTCCCAGGACCGAAACGTTTTCTAATAAATATGTCATAGTGTTTGCTTACGTGTCTTTCTAAACCAACTTGTCGGTATTTATTACCAAGGTTTATACCATGCCTGTGTGTGTACTCACCTGATTGTGGTTGGAGGGGTCGATTCATAGCTCCTGGCCCCGCCTCTTCACTGGTGTGTGTGAGTGCATGTGCGTGTCTGTGTAAATGCAGGCATTCGTGCACACACGATTATAATGATAATTTTATTATTATTATTATTATTATTATTATTATTATTATTATTATTATTATTATTATTCCTGTCGTCAATATTTTCTTTAACAGTCAGAGCTTCGCATGGACGTGAAGTCTGCTCTGAAACACCCGTGGATGGACCTGGCTCTCGACCAGCCTCGAGACCCCTATAGAATCAACACGGATAGACTTCGATCCTATTACTCCAGATTCAGGTCAGTGGTTTGGATCCCAGTTGTTGATTCTCATTGAGTTTTGAAGGCTAGGGATGGGGTTCAGAGAGGTAGTCGAGGTGGTTTTCAAGGTTTGGGCGGGTACTGGACCTGACTTTCAGGGTTCAGGTAGGTACTGGACCTGGCTTTCAGGGTTTAGGTAGGTACTGGACCTGGCTTTCAGTGTTTAGGTAGGTACTGGACCTGGTTTTCAGGGTTTAGGTAGGTACTGGACCTGGCTTTCAGGGTTTAGGTAGGTACTGGACCTGGCTTTCAGGGTTCAGGTAGGTACTGGACCTGGCTTTCAGGGTTTAGGTAGGTACTGGACCTGGCTTTCAGGGTTTAGGTAGGTACTGGACCTGGCTTTCAGGGTTCAGGTAGGTACTTGACCTGGCTTTCAGGGTTCAGGGTCAGGATACTGAATGCTTTCAGGGTTCGGGGTACTGTGACCTGGTTTAAAGGGTCTTGGTCGGTATGGACCTGGTTTCAGGTTAATTTAGGTAGGTTGAATCGAACTGGGGACATTTAAAGGGTTTTAAGTAGGTCTGCCGGCTTTCTAAAGGTCAGAGAAGGGTTTACCCGTCACAATGGTTTAGGGTTCAGGTGGGGGGGTTTGGTCTGGCTTTAAAGGGTCAGGTAGATATGGCCGCTTTCAGGGTTTAGGTGGTTCGACCTGGCCTTTTACGGGTTCAGGGTTTAGACAATTTTCGTTGTTTCGTACAGGGTCTGGTAGTGATTTTTGTGTATTGAGAGATTAGATGTTGGGCGCTATAAAAGGTTCACTTTGTCTCACTTTAATTTATAGTCTTAAAGTCCAATATATTATTAATCATTTTAAAAAACCTTTAAATAATCTAGCCGCGTCTCTGAAACGTAATAAGAAGGAGACGTTTTAATTATGTTAATATTTTAAATTATTATAGATATGTGATTTGTATCCTTTTTTGGCTTTGAAAGGTGGAAAAAAGGGTTCGCTTTTGGTGTGGGAGCTGTGGTTCGACTCTGTGCCTTGAGGGGGGTGTAGGGTTTGGGACAATTTTCGTTGTCTGTCCCGATGTGTCTTTTCTCCCCGTCTTGTGAGTTTATGCTGATTTTATCTGAGAAAAATTTTTTAAGGGGATGAGAAAATATATTTTAAAGGTAATTATTATATATTTTATATTATATTATTATATTATATAAAATTTTTTTATTTATATATTATATATTAAATTTTTTATATACCTTTTTTTATATATCTTTTCACCTCTATTTATCCTCAGAAAAGGATAGCATAATAACATAAAGGGCAGACGATATATATTATTAAATTATATATATATTTTTATTTTTTATATAGATTTTTAAAAGTTAAAAAATATTTTAGATATATAGATATGTATTTTTTAAAAAAATTTTTGCAAATGGGTGACATTATTTTTTAACATTCCCCTGTCCACAGCAGAATTTCAAACCCTTGCCCCCCACTGGCACCCAGTGTCCGCAGTGCTTTATCACAAAAGCCGATCCTGTGTGGATCAAGTCTCGACCAAATGCCAAATTCCTTTTTGGGTGGGGAAAGGGGGCCTGAGCCCGGGGCCTTTGGGCTCAAAAGGGACTGTCATTCCCATTTGCCCCCTTGTGGCGGGGATGGCAGACCAGAGAGGCCTAGCTTGTGGCTAGGCCTGGGGACAGTTGGTCCCAAAGATGAGGAGGTACTTGTGCCTCCTCCCATGGGAGACTTAGGTCTCAGACACTCCCTAAAGAGGGAGCCAAGGCCGGGCCACCACTTGGAAAAGGCCCGGGCCGGGAGAATACCGGCGAATCTTTAATAATAATAATAATAATAATTTTGTAAAAAATACGAATTTAGACCTGTATTTTTTTTAGGGGGGGAGGGGGAGATTCTGATTAATTTTGGAAAAATGTTAAAATGGATTTATTGGAGGAAATTGTTGAAGAGCTTGTGCAGTATTTATACCTGTATCCCTCTATAGATGATACCTGTATCCCTCTGTGTAGATGATACCTGTATCCCTCTGTGTAGATGATACCTGTATCCCTCTGTGTAGATATCTGTATCCCTCTGTGTAGATGATACCTGTATCCCTCTGTGTAGATGATACCTGTATCCCTCTGTGTAGATGATACTTGTATCCCTCTGTGTAGATGATACTTGTATCCCTCTGTGTAGATGATACCTGTATCCCTCTGTGTAGATGATACTTGTATCCCTCTGTGTAGATGATACTTGTATCCCTCTGTGTAGATGATACCTGTATCCTCTGTGTAGATGATACTTGTATCCCTCTGTGTAGATGATACTTGTATCCCTCTGTGTAGATGATACTTGTATCCCTCTGTGTAGATGATACTTGTATCCCTCTGTGTAGATGATACCTGTATCCCTCTGTGTAGATGATACTTGTATCCCTCTGTGTAGATGATACTTGTATCCCTCTGTGTAGATGATACCTGTATCCCTCTGTGTAGATGATACTTGTATCCCTCTGTGTAGATGATACTTGTATCCCTCTGTGTAGATGATACCTGTTCCCTCTGTGTAGATGATACTTGTATCCCTCTGTGTAGATGATACTTGTATCCCTCTGTGTAGATGATACTTGTATCCCTCTGTGTAGATGATACTTGTATCCCTCTGTGTAGATGATACCTGTATCCCTCTGTGTAGATGATGCCTGTATCCCTCTGTGTAGACGATACCTGTATCCTTCTGTGTAGACGATACCTGTATCCTTCTGTGTAGACGATACCTGTATCCTTCTGTGTAGACGATACCTGTATCCTGTGTAGACGATACCTGTATCCCTGTGTAGACGATACCTGTATCCCTGTGTAGACGATACCTGTATCTCTGTGTAGACGATACCTGTATCTCTGTGTAGACGATACCTGTATCCTGTGTAGACGATACCTGTATCCCTTTGTGTAGACAAAACCTGTATCCCTCTCTGTAAACGATACCTGTATCCCTCTGTAGGCGATACCTGTATCTACATCACTATAGATACTACCTGTATCCCTCTACATCACTAGGTACTACCTGTATCCCTCTACTTCACTAGATACTACCTGTATCCCTCTACATCATAGATACTACTGTATCCCTTACATCACTAGATATACCTGTATCCCTCTACATCACTAGATACTACCTGTATCCCTCTACTCATAGATACTACCTGTATCCTTACATCACTATAGATACTACCTGTATCCCTCTACATCACTAGATACTACCTGTATCCCTCTACATCACTAGATACTACCTGTATCCCTCTACATCACTAGATACTACCTGTATCCCTCTACATCACTGGATACTACCTGTATCCCTCTACATCACTAGATACTACCTGTATCCCTCTACATCACTAGATATACCTGTTCCCTCTACTCACTGATATACCTGCATCCCTCTACATCACTAGATACTACCTGCATCCCTCTACATCACTAGATACTACCTGTATCCCTCTACATCACTAGATACTACCTGTATCCCTCTACATCACTAGATACTACCTGTATCCCTCTACATCACTAGATACTACCTGCATCCCTCTACATCACTATAGACGATACCTGTATCCCTCTCCACTATAGATGATACCTGTATCCCTCACTGTGTCACTCAATCCCCACAATGAAGGCAGACTTAGAGGTTTTGATCCAAGGTATTGAAGCCACGTAGCCTTAGATGATATCTCGTTACCTTCCATTGCCGAGGTGCTGTGGGGAGCCCCCTACGTGTTTACTGCTTTCCCTTGAATATAATAATAGCCATGGTTTGAAGAAGAGTTTAGTTGAACGCCATGCGTGATGCCAGAAACAGGTATACCTGTTGAACAGGGATAGCTATACCAGGTATTCCCAGACGATGGCATAGTGCCAGAAGCAGGTGTACCAGTTTTTTGAGATAGCTATACCAGGTATCCCCCGAAACTGGGTCACCTTAACACGGTGTTGGAGTGCGATTCGTAAGTGCCAAGGGGTAGGCCCCTCAAGCTAGGGTGCCACACACTTCACAGGGTGCCACACTCCCTACAGGGCTCTTGCTTGGCAAAACCAATCATCTCTTACGGTCTAAATGATGGGGATATTTCCCCTTTCGTCTAAATCTGCCAGCACAAAGCCAATTATGGATATGGAAAATATTGTATAGTCTTACTCTGTGAATTAAGGAATGGATTGATTGGAGACGGTGTCAAGTTGATGATGATTGAGGATAGTGATTGAAGCTGAATAAATGATTAATTCTTTTATATACAAATTTAGATCAAATATGGGGCCCTACGATTTATCAGGAGACAGGACAAGTGTTTCCTGTCGCGGGTCTTAGTCATATGATGACCCGTAGCTGGAGCCTTTGGTCATCTGACCGAAGCCTTCCACTGGCTTACCAGTCTACCCTCTTAAAAAAATTATATTAATCTTATTGTCCTGTGAGCAGCGGTTTGACCCCTGCAGACACAACTAGGTGAATACACGCTCATTACGACGCCTCGTTGGAGGTTGTATTGCAGATTAGGTTAGGTAAGGTTAGTCGGGAAACAGGACGCGGGTCTTAGTCATTTGATGACCCGCAGCTGGAGCTTTTGGTCATCTGACAGAGGCCTTCCGCTGGCTTACCCCTCCACCCTTTGAAAATTATGGTTATAATTAAAACCATTAGGAATTATTATAGATGCATATTCTAGTTTCTCGTCATTACTTTATTATCGGCAGTTAGGCCTTGTATTACATTACCGTTAACTGGCTATTTAGTAACTCTTGGCCATTATTACCCAGAATTCTTCACGCTAGGCCTTCTCAGGGACGCCTAGATTATCACGGATTCTCTTTATTTCCCGTGATATTCCGTGCATAGGTTGTAACAGTAAACTCAGTGTAAATGTTTTTCTGTGTGTAAATTTTAAATATTGTTCCGTGCGATAAGGGGATTTATCTTATGGTCTAAATGATAATGTTTAGTAACTCGGCACGAAGACCGTTTTGCCTCTGTCACGTGTATGGTTTATTGGTTGCCACGTGTATGGTTTATTGGTTGCACGTCCCAACCCTCTCGTGTGTGCTGGTGCTGTCAGTAGTCTGTGTGCTGATGTTAGTAGCCTCTGTGCTGGTGCTGTCAGCCTCTGTGCTGGTGCTGTCAGTAGCCTCTGTGCTGGTGCTGTCAGTAGCCTCTGTGCTGGTGCTGTCAGTAGTCTGTGTGCTGATGTTAGTAGCCTCTGTGCTGGTGCTGTCAGTAGCCTCTGTGCTGGTGCTGTCAGTAGTCTCTGTGCTGGTGCTGTCAGTAGCCTCTGTGCTGGTGCTGTCAGTAGTCTCTGTGCTGGTGTTGTTAGTAGCCTCTGTGCTGGTGCTGTCAGTAGCCTCTGTGCTGGTGCTGTCAGTAGCCTCTGTGCTGGTGGTGTCAGTAGTCTCTGTGCTGGTGTTGTCAGTAGCCTCTGTGCTGGTGCTGTCAGTAATCTGTGCTGGTGCTGTCAGTAGTCTCTGTGCTGGTGCTGTCAGTAGCCTCTGTGCTGGTGCTGTCAGTAGCCTCTGTGCTGGTGCTGTCAGTAGCCTCTGTGCTGGTGCTGTCAGTAGTCTGTGCTGGTGCTGTCAGTAGCCTCTGTGCTGGTGCTGTCAGTAGTCTCTGTGCTGGTGCTCTCAGTAGTCTGTGCTGATGCTGTCAGTAGCCTCTTGTGCTGGTACTGTCAGTTGTAACCTAAATTTGGCGAATACCACTGAGTGCCATCCGTACGTGACGGTGCTTAGGCGTCCCGAGCCTTCGTGACTGGATGGAATCTCATTACTGTACTCCCTGGCCGATCGTCTATAAACTTGTGTGTTGTCGGAGTCACTGGAGATCTCCAGCGAGTCTCCAAAGATCCTAAATTGCCCAGATGATTACAGTCGTGATCAGTATCTGGGAGCCACTATCTACATCCGTCCTTCAGTTCTGTCTCCAGAGTTAGTAAGCTTGATGTCTGGGGATCTGTTGACATCATTCTTGATCAGTGGTGGCCCCAGGGAAAGCATTAAGCTCCCAGGATGCTCACTTGTCCTAAAGGGAAAACTTTTTCCTCACTGTATACACTCTTTACTTGGTTTAATAACTTTCCGTTCTTAAATATTTATCTGCACTAATTTCACACTAGTTTATAATAATTGCATATTGTGTATATATATATATATATATATATATATATATATATATATATATATATATATTAAATATATATATATATATATATATATATAATATACATGGACAGTGGACGGCTATTTATTACCGTTGCTTTATATCACTATCATTCCCCATTCGCTCACTAGATGGCAGGTTTCCGTGGAAACCAAGTTTTTAGGTTCACAGTAATTCATATAAATCTAACTAATTTTTTCATATTAACATTGTAGAAACGACTCGTAAGGCACGTTGGGTTTTTTTTGCTACAATAATATGCACATTACAACTGCTCATGCATATATTTAATATATTTGGGTAATTGTATTTACGATCTCATCACTTGACAGAGTTGTATCTACATAAAGAAAAATGTCTATTTTATGGGGTGAAGCTAGGCTTCCGTATGATTTCTGGGATGCTAGGCTTCCGTATGATTTCTGGGATGCTAGGCTTCCGTATGATTTCTGGGATGCTAGGCTTCCGTATGATTTCTGGGATGCTAGGCGTCAGTATGATTTCTGGGGTGCTAGGCTTCCGTATGATTTCTGGGATGCTAGGCGTCAGTATGATTTCTGGGATGCTAGGCTTCCGTATGATTTCTGGGATGCTAGGCGTCAGTATGATTTCTGGGATGCTAGGCGTCAGTATGATTTCTGGGATGCTAGGCTTCCGTATGATTTCTGGGATGCTAGGCGTCCGTATGATTTCTGGGATGCTAGGCTTCCGTATGATTTCTGGGATGCTAGGCGTCCGTATGATTTCTGGGATGCTAGGCTTCCGTATGATTTCTGGGATGCTAGGCGTCCGTATGATTTCTGGGATGCTAGGCTTCCGTATGATTTCTGGGATGCTAGGCGTCCGTATGATTTCTGGGATGCTAGGCGTCCGTATGATTTCTGGGATGCTAGGCTTCCGTATGATTTCTGGGATGCTAGGCTTCCGTATGATTTCTGGGATGCTAGGCTTCCGTATGATTTCTGGGATGCTAGGCTTCCGTATGATTTCTGGGATGCTAGGCTTCCGTATGATTTCTGGGATGCTAGGCTTCCGTATGATTTCTGGGATGCTAGGCTTCCGTATGATTTCTGGGATGCTAGGCGTCAGTATGATTTCTGGGATGCTAGGCTTCCGTATGATTTCTGGGATGCTAGGCGTCCGTATGATTTCTGGGATGCTAGGCGTCCGTATGATTTCTGGGATGCTAGGCGTCAGTATGATTTCTTGGATGCTAGGCTTCCGTATGATTTCTGGGATGCTAGGCTTCCGTATGATTTCTGGGATGCTAGGCTTCCGTATGATTTCTGGGATGCTAGGCGTCAGTATGATTTCTGGGATGCTAGGCTTCCGTATGATTTCTGAGATGCTAGGCTTCCGTATGATTTCTGGGATGCTAGGCGTCAGTATGATTTCTGGGATGCTAGGCGTCAGTATGATTTCTGGGATGCTAGGCGTCCGTATGATTTCTGGGATGCTAGGCGTCCGTATGATTTCTGGGATGCTAGGCGTCCGTATGATTTCTGGGATGCTAGGCGTCCGTATGATTTCTGGGATGCTAGGCGTCAGTATGATTTCTGGGATGCTAGGCGTCCGTATGATTTCTGGGATGCTAGGCGTCAGTATGATTTCTGGGATGCTAGGCTTCCGTATGATTTCTGGGATGCTAGGCTTCCGTATGATTTCTGGGATGCTAGGCTTCCGTATGATTTCTGGGATGCTAGGCTTCCGTATGATTTCTGGGATGCTAGGCGTCAGTATGATTTCTGGGATGCTAGGCGTCAGTTTTTTGGACGTGGTATGGGAGTAGTGGTAATAATGTGTATTTTAGAATGCCAGAGCAATAGTCAATCCTCCATCTTCTTGGCGGCAGTATCTTGTCGGTCAGGAAACACGGCATCTTTCTCAGATGACCCGTTAAACTGATTAACCATCCGCTGGCCTACTCAAGCTAGATTTTTACACACACACAAAAGCAGAACAGCACTCCTGTTAGTATCCTAAGATGGTTCCTGATCCTCCTCTGCGTCTCCTCTTAATATAATTCCATCTTTGAAGAGTTGACCCGGCGTTTATACACAGACAATAAGGTAATATATGTATATATGTACAAATCTTTCAAAATAGCGTCTGTAGATAGCACTCTAATATTGCATTGAAATTGTACAGCTGTATAATAACTTTTGTTCACAATGAATAAGCTAATCTTCAACTGTGATGTGTATATTGTATTGATCATTTACCAGTAGGATACCTGACGTAACATTAACAGATAACGTAAGGCACAAGAGTAACAGGTATACATTGATCTAATGTATTTTGTACAGTGTTAAATTTATATATTCTCACTGTTAATTCTGCCAGGAATGTTATTAACCTTGCCACCCAGTAGACTAAAGTTCCAAAGCTTGCAAATCTTTGTTGATTTTCTGTAGTTCCTCCTGCGAGTCAGGACATGCTGGAGGAAAGAGAGTTCTGATTGGTTGGTTCGAGTCTCAGGAAGTTGGCGGCTTTCCTGATTGGCTGGAGACGAGCCAATCCCCTCTCGCTAAACTCTTGCTGAAGAACCTGATGTTTGGTGCGATTTTTAGGAAATTTCGAAATTGGAGATATTAACCTAAAATTAATAAGAAATGTGTATCTTAAAAAAGTTATTGAATTTCCCAAAACATCAGACTCTTCGTAGAAAAAAATATATATATATATATATAAATTTCCTCCCTATGGCTTTGATGATGGAAATATCAATTTGTTAAATTTAATTCTATAAATAAAAATTAATTAGCCGATAAAACAAGTTTTTTCTAACTAAATAATAACAGATTGAGATTAATAATACTAATTATTAATGCACAATATACAGATTTAATAACGATAACATATCGGCCAATTACAAAATTTAATTTATTTTTTTAAGTCTCCGAATACAATATTCTATTAGCCTAAATAGCATATTTTTTTATTATAAATTCTCAAGCTTATAGTAAATAATTTTTAAGCGAAAGTAACCTAAAAAACATTAATTGAATTTTCCATCGGCAGTTTTGTAACTTTATCTAAAGTTTGTCTTCTTAAGTAGTGTTTAATTATGTAAATTTCTCTGTTTACCTTTTTTGTTGTTCTTAGTTACATTTTTTCACGTTTTATGAATCAAATATTTTTCCGTGTTTTCACCTTTTTTTTCCATGTTATCTTTCTTCATATTTATCTTCTGTTTTTTAAATGTCTTTTTTTTTTAGGATTTTGTTGAATTTTGCTTTTGTAGTTAAATGTGTGTCAGTGCCTGTTAACATTTTATCTTGTACATTATTAATTAAAGCTGGCTTTATCAGCTGCAGCTGGCTTTATCCGTTGCAGCTGGCTTTATCCGTTGCAGCTGGCTTTATCAGCTGCAGCTGGCTTTATCCGTTGCAGCTGGCTTTATCAGCTGCAGCTGGCTTTATCCGTTGCAGCTGGCTTTATCCGTTGCAGCTGGCTTTATCAGCTGCAGCTGGCTTTATCCGTTGCAGCTGGCTTTATCAGCTGCAGCTGGTTTTATCCGTTGCAGCTGGCTTTATCACTGCTAGCTGGTTTTATCCGTTGCAGCTGCTTTATCCAGCTGCACTGGCTTATCCGTTGCAGCTGGCTTTATCCGCTGCAGCTGCTTTATCAGCGCCACTGGCTTCAATCACGCTTCTTCTCCCGTTACACTTTGTCTTCTCTTTCCACAACATCCTGTGTACCTGATCCACTCACCTTTTCTATCCTCACCTGTTTCCCCATTTCCCGTTTTCGTGTCACCATTACCCATTTTCTTGTAGCATAGTTATACGTGTTTATATCCTCAGTTACCTTTGTAAATTAAATTTTCTTGTAGCATAGTTATACGTGTTTATATCCTCAGTTACCTTTGTAAATTAAATTTTCTTGTAGCATAGTTATACGTGTTTATATCCTCAGTTACCTTTGTAAATTAAATTTTCTTGTAGCATAGTTATACGTGTTTAAATCCTCGTTACCATTGTAAACAAAAAGAATTCAGTTATGTGTATCCTTTCAGTTATTACCTCTGTTTTTATTTTTCACACTGATTATCTGTGTTCGTATCCTCATACTCTGTCTCGAGGCTATTATTATTATTATTATTATTATTATTATTATTATTTTACAGCCTGTGTTTTTGCAGTATTTTTGTATACTGAATAAATGCCCTTTGCTGCCTCCTAAATTATATATCACTTGATTGCTTCCCCCATCTTTTTTTTAAATAGTGAAATGTGCAAATTTTTCCTCATTTTTACATCAGTTAAAATAGCAGACGAACCTTGCTGAAATTTACGTAACGTAAAATAATTTGCCCTAAATTATCTGACAATTTGCATAACTTTCACTTTTTATTAATGGAGAGCGACTCTCTAGGCTGCTGTACCGTTTTAATACAGTCTTGTCTATCCATGTTTGTGCTTCTACTAATCTAGCCTCAGTACCTGTAAGGTCATAAACATGCTGATCCTGTGCATTTCCAAACTTCCTGTGGCTGTTTCGTTACCCTGTCTCCTTCTCTATCCCCTGTTACTCCTTTCTCCACCCTGGCAGGGCATACACGGTTGACCTCTCCCGAGTTCGCCCCTACACGGTGAGATGTCATCATGTGTCCTTTGCCTTCATTCCTCAGGTGAAAGGGGAATCTGCATCGTTCGAGTCGTCTAGATCTCACCGGTACCAGCCCAAGCGCAAGGGACCCTTCAAGCCCACGCAGTTTGTAGTCTGGAGCGACAGTGAACGGGAAAGCAGAAAGAGGATCAAGAGTTTCGAGCACACGGAAAGATACAGTAGCACACAACATCCTACTACCCTAAGCGTGCAGGATAGGCAGAGACGAGCCCTGAGCCTGGATGCCAGGGATAGAGCTCTAGCCGAGGCTCGCGCTATCCATGCATTATCTGTTGATCCTGAAGGTGGAGAGTACCACAGACATCACCTCCAACAGGGCCACCGCCACCAGCAACACGAGTTGACCACCACCACCTACGGTGTCCAACGAATGCGGCCCCAAGTCCAACCTCTCCCCGAACTCCCGTGTCCAACCTGTGGCAATCCAGACTACCAACCCGAGTAGATACTGTCCAAACTCCTTATTTTTTAAGACCTGCCTCTGAGGACTCCTGCCACCACCACTTCCCTTCTTCCTCTGCTACCCGAAACACCGCATTTAATTACGTATTTAACGCTCTGTAACTAGCCGTAACTCAATTAACTTGCTCTAGCAACTAGCTGACACTCGTTGCTTGCTCTATTTTTTCAGCTCAAATAGTTTTTCTTCGTTATGTTGTATATTAATGGACATAGAGTATGATTTGCTTTTTATATGAACTTTTTTTAGTAAGCTGTAATATTAATTTTCTCTCTTATTCAAAATTTCTCCCGCTTCCATTTTCTTTATCGTAGAAAATATTCTGACAAAATGCAGTAACTTTAATATTTTAGTTTGTGACTCATTTTATTCCTTGTTTCAAACTTAACGAAAATAAGCCACACTTTTTGGCTTTCTTGGGTTTTTAAACCCTCAGGAATTAATCCGAACGAAGTCTTCTTCACCCACCTTCCTTTGAACGAACGAATTCGTTATCTCCTCGGAGTGTTTGTATTTTTTCCAGTTTGTCCTTGTGACTTGTCGAGATATCGAAAACAAATCGAACGAAGTAGTCGCTGCTCTGTCTTTGTCTCTGTTATCTCCCCAGCAGTCTCAAAGTTTCTGACCAGAGGCTTCAAGGCCCCTATCTAGATTACTTTTATCTATATCAGTAGATGTCCAGCTCTGTGATCTTTGGAACGTTTAGATAAAGAAGGTACCTCGTCCTATGGAAGGGGAATTTACATTCCTAGTTACCCCCCTTCTCGTTCGTTCAAATTTAAAATGATCGTTGCGTATATAAACATCTGGTCCTTGATTCTTCCACAGCCTTTAGTATATTTGCTCGTAATTACATATCGCATTTCTAGTGATTTTTTTCATGTCTAATTGAGCTGAAAATTCACTGTACATATCTTTGGCTCTGCAGTAAAAAACAGACTTGATAATGATGTATGTTAATATTTTCATTTTCCGTCCCGGGATTGTATCACCAACTAACCTTTCTGAATAACTACCACCACCAGGGTTTTTTTTAATAGTGTACCCTTTTAAAACCTGTCTAGAAATGTTCACTTATGTTCCTAACGTTTCTAGCACTAATTTGCTCACGGTGATGCGAGTTAACCCGCCGTATTTCTTCAGACTAGAGCTTTGACGACCCCGTTACCGTTAAAGACTAACGTCAACAGAACCTTCCCTTCTATCTTGGGACCCACCCAGCCCAACCAATTAGGGAGGTCTGTTCTCTCTAGCCTGTAGTTCTGGTTCGCTCTCTTGCCTTTTACTGCCTCTTGCCAAGACACCTGAGACTGACTCGAGAGACAAAGACTGTCCACAGCGACGTCTCCGCCACCGACCAGCCAGTTTTCCTATGTTCGAAACCAGATAACCTACAATTTGAAAAAATATGGAGAACATAGAACAGTGTAGCCCAGCTGGACGATGAATTAGCAAGCATAAATATTTAGTAGGTGTTTATTGGTACTGTGGACATGACAGCTCTCTTCATTGAACACTTAAAGTATGAGAGAATGCAAAATAGATTCCAGTTCTTTTACGGCTCCTGGAATTGTTTCCAGAATTTGAATTTTGTGTTTTTTGTAGAGTCGTGAAGACGAGTTTCAACTCGGCCTTTATTTCTTATCCTCCAGATTATCTAAGTACACCAAAAATTATCAAATGGAAAAAAAAATATTAGGAATAAAGAACTTTAAAATTTATATAAAATATTCCAGGCTTTTTGATGGATGCAATTTCTTGGTCAGTGTTTTCATAATTTGTTTCATTTTATTAAATCTGTCACTTTAAGATCAAAATATACCATTGTAATATATGCTTTAAGGGCAATGTTAAGGCTGTTGTCCCCAATGCATGGGCGTTGATCCCTTGGATGGCCTTGCAAGACCTGAAAATACTGTTTGATGCCCTAAATGACCACCTTGGATTCATTTTTTGAGTTGTTTGCTTGTGTTGTTTACCTACTTAGTGTTGCTGAAGTTAAGAGTATTGGTGTGTCTGCTTTGTATGGGTGATGTACATGAATTGGGGGGGGGGGAATGGAGTGACCGAGGCCTGGTCATGGTCCGGGTCTCGGGGGGCGTTGACACCCGGAACACCCTCCAGGTAGCCCATCAAGGAAAGCTTCCATAATGCTGGTGAAATGCTCTAGATCCAGGGGATAAACGGAGCTACTCCTCCAGTTGGACCCAGCTCAATTACCTATTACCGAGCCACTGTACAATCCATTTGGCTTGAGCGCTTCCCCATGAATGTAATATAATAATGGCGCCCTGAATGCTTCGCGCCCAAAAAAATAAATCCGTTTTCCATAATAAAAGCAAAAGTTTTGAAACTAGATGGTGTGTGCTCCAACAATAGTAAAGAAAAGATACCTATTTACAGAATAAGCTTTTTACTGGGACAACGTTTAGATAGGCATAAGGTTTGTCAGGAAACTGGACAAGTGTTTCCTGACGCGGGTCTTAGTCATATGGTGACCCACAGCTGGAGCTTTTGGTCATCTGACAGAGACCTTCCACTAACAACGTTTTAGATCTGTTAAGAGCTTTATCAAACCAGAGAGGATATATAAAACGCACGCGGGTGTATATGATATATATATATATGTCGTGCCGAATAGGTAAAACTGGTCAATTAGCAAGAACTCGTTTAAAATTAAGTCCTTTCTAAAATTTTCTCTTATACGTTTAAAGGTATATTTTTTTTTTATTTATGTTAATGTAAAAATTAATAATTTTGTACCAAAAGAACCTTAGAAAACTTACCTAACCTTATTATAACAAGGGCAATTAAATTTAGCCTAATCCAACTAAATATATTTTAGATACGTTTACAGTAATTTAATACTAAACAAACACAGTGAAATATATTTTTTCGTTAGGTTCAGAATGATTTTTGCGAAATTATTGCATACACAAACCTTCGCTTGCCTTATTCGGCAAGAAGAGCGTTGCTATTTAAGCCAAGATAGCAAGTTTTACATATTCCACACACACACACAATATATATATTATATATATATATATATATATATATATATTGGTCCCATTCAAAGCTTATACTGTAAAATACTTTCAAAATCGTAGCATTGTGACCTCTAGCATGATGTGCATTTTTTTTGTGATTGATTTATCGAGTTTTCTCATCGGGAAATTACTTTTTTTTTGTCCCTTAATGCATTTTGTTTTTTTATATACTTTTGTTACTTGTTGCACAATGTAATTTGCTGTCATGCATTTAAATTTGATTTCTAAAATTCGTGTTGCTACCTCCCATATATTGTTTCCTTCCATCTATGACTTCCTGTGTTTATTGCTGTGTTCCATCATTTCCCGCATTCCATACCTCCCAGTTTTCCAGTAAGTCTAGCCTCGGTGTAGCCTTGGTACTCCTATCCTCCAGAATACCTCCCAGTTTTCCAGTAAGTCTAGCCTCGGTGTAGCCTTGGTACTCCTATCCTCCAGAATACCTCCCAGTTTTCCAGTAAGTCTAGCCTCGGTGTAGCCTTGGTACTCCTAACTTCCAGAATACCTTCCAGTTTTCCAGTAAGTCTAGCCTCGGTGTAGCCTTGGTACTCCTATCCTCCAGAATACCTCCCAGTTTTCCAGTAAGTCTAGCCTCGGTGTAGCCTTGGTACTCCTATCCTCCAGAATACCTCCCAGTTTTCCAGTAAGTCTAGCCTCGGTGTAGCCTTGGTACTCCTAACTTCCAGAATACCTTCCAGTTTTCCAGTAAGTCTAGCCTCGGTGTAGCCTTGGTACTCCTAACTTCCAGAATACCTTCCAGTTTTCCAGTAAGTCTAGCCTCGGTGTAGCCTTGGTACTCCTAACTTCCAGAATACCTTCCAGTTTTCCAGTAAGTCTAGCCATGGTACTCCTATCCTCTAGATTACCCGAGCACACTCCAGGTCCGTCACTTTATCTCCCTATGTCACTTATCCTTTCCTTGCGTCCACCTTTTCCGTCCAGCCTTTGCGTCCAGCCTTTCCGTCGCTCTGCGTCAATGTCCGTCCGAATACAACCTAATTAGTCAAAACAGCATGTCAAGACTTTTCAAGGAATTTAATAAAGATTTCGCATTTTTCTTTTCTTGTGACCAACCTCTGCTAATGTTTTTGTGAGGTTTCATTTTTTGAGAGTTTACCCTCTTTGAAACCCATTTTTTTTATAAATTTTCCTCCCAAATCCCATTACTTTGAGTCACCCCTTCAAAGACCCGGTTTTTGTGCGCGATCTAATCGAAGCCCCTCATTTATTTTTTTTTGAGTTATCCTTCGAATTCACGTTTTCCTATGAACTTCAAATGCAGTTTTTTTTTGGTTTTATTCCCTAACGAAAATATTCACGTGGCAGAGAATTCTGCTTGTATAGTGTTCGAAAAAATTCTGTTCTTGACAGCAATTTCTCAAGTATAAAAAAAAAAAAAAGTTGCCAAATGTTTAAAATTCATTGCTTAAATATAACTTTTTAAAATGATTGAACATATATGTATATAAATTAAGATATTTCTGCTATACTTAAAATACAGATGGACCCGATTTCAAAGTTTGAAATCGGGTCCATCTTTTTGAAACACCCTGTATTGCAGTGTCAGGGGTAACTTGTGTAAATTATACGAAACATTAGCAGGTGAATTTATCTACTGAAATTATACCAGCAGTGAGAACTTATGTAAATTTACTTCCTTAGTTTCATATAAATTCGTTTATCTTAACATATATAGGAATATTTTATAATTAAAAAGTATTTATAAATAAATGGGTTATAAATCACCAGTGGTTATTTTTTTTTTTTTACAAATCTTAATAATATAAATTTGCTTAATACATACACACACAAGCTCTTTGAACGAGCGTATTTGTAAATAATATAAATAATATATATATTCTCCCCTCTCCCTCATCCACTACTGTTCTCAACACTGACAAACATTTCTACCATCGTGATGTCTATGAACGTTTCTGCCTGTCTACACGTCACATAACGTCCTTGCCCGCCATATCAACAAAACGCGCGTCGTCACCTCTACACACCATTGCGCCGTGATCACGACGTAAACGACCCCTAAACATCGCCCTTGACGCTGGAACGACGCCACGACAGCGGGTGCCTGTGGTACACGAACGTCGTCGCTTCACAGACGTTATGGACGAGGAAATAGACGATGAACGACGCCGGACCATCTGGACAAACGCACGGCCAAGTTCATCAGAGGACGCATGGAGACGTGCGCTCTCGACGTGCCCAGAAGACTCAAAAGAGAAGTAGGTAGTTTTGATACACGTAGATCATATGGGGTTAGAGGTCAGGCTGGGATCAGATGGAATGTGACAGGGGAAACTAAGCTAGTTTTTGCCCCCACAATGTAACTATTATATAGAATAGTGTAGCAACACACTGCTGGTGTTCCCACAATGTAACTAGCGTATAGAATAGTGTAGCAGCACACTGCTGGTGTTCCCACAATGTAACTAGCGTATAGAATAGTGTAGCAGCACACTGCTGGTGTTCCCACAATGTAACTAGCGTATAGAATAGTGTAGCAGCACACTGCTGGTGTTCCCACAATGTAACTAGCGTATAGAATAGTGTAGCAGCACACTGCTGGTGTTCCCACAATGTAACTAGCGTATAGAATAGTGTAGCAACACACTGCTGGTGTTCCCACAATGTAACTAGCGTATAGAATAGAGTAGCAGCACACTGCTGGTGTTCCCACAATGTAACTAGCGTATAAATAGTGTAGCAGCACACCCTGGTGTTCCCACAATGTAACTAGCGTATAGAATAGTGTAGCAACACATGCTGGTGTTCCCACAATGTAACTGTTATATACAATAGTGTAGCAGCACACCCTTGGTGTATCTCTGTTAAAACATACACATCCCTTGACAGATCCCAGCCCGGCTAGCGATCACTGAAGACCCGGTCTCCCAGCTTCAGGAAGTGAGCTTCGGGACGCCGCCCTTCCTGAGGGAGAAGCCTGACACCTGTGCCATTACCGACGGGTGCCCTCTCTCCCTGACAGTGGTCATCAGTGGGGACCCTGAACCACTAGTACAGTGGTACAAGTGAGTACAGCTACCACCATTCATATTATCACTACCACCATCACTTTCCATCCTTCTACCACCATCCCTGCTACCAGCATCCCTACAACAACCTTCCGAGCTACCACCAGTTCACTCGTACCACCATCCTTTATGCTGAATAAGTTATACGGACGGAGGATCAAGCCTTCACCGCTCGTTGTGCAGAATAACACGCGCGAGTTTAGTTCTCCATATTAACAAACCTCTCCAATATGAATACAAATCGGAATCTTTCTGTAATATATACTATATATATATATACTACGTATTTCATATATATATATCAGTGTATAATGAATACTGATACTATATATAATTAGCATTAATGTCAAGAAAATGACAGAACCACTTTTGTTCCACTAGGAAACTTTGGTCACATTCTTATAATCGACACCTGCCTAACCTCTAGGGTAAGGGTAGTGCCTGTCCCGAGCCTTTAGCTCAAACTGTGCAATAAATTTGCACCTGGGGGGGATGGCAGACCAGAGAGGCTAGCTTGTGGATAGGCCTGGGGAGTTGGTCCATATGAGAAGATCATATGACTCCATCCATGGAGATTAGGTCTAGACACTCCCTAAAGAGGACCAAGCGAATGGCCAACCACTTCGGAAATTGGCCCGGCCGGAAATTACGGCTAATATTAACATATATAATTCTATGTGGAAAGACATGGTTGTAGATAACCGCTTGTTACCATGTTACGTCAGTTGCACATTGGGAACAGAGTAACATTGTTCACCTATGTTATTTCCTATGTTATATGTGTATTATGATCGTCTTTGTTATTCCCCACTACGTTATCTTATGTATATAGTTACATGGGAAAAAAAGCTATGTTCCCTGCCATTCCCAAACAGGAACGAGGTTATCCTGGGGGAGACAGAGAGAATAAGTATGGAGAACGTACCTGGCCGGTCCATTCTCAAGTTCTCAGAGTGCCACGACTTCGACGTGGGTCTGTACAAGGTGGTGGCCAGGAACCAGATGGGCGAGGCCAGCCACAAGTTCCGTTTGGTCCAGGGCCACATCCCTGGCCCTTGCGACTGTCCAGTGGTGACGGAGGTCTCGGACACGGAGGCTCTGGTGCGCTGGAGGCCTCCCATCGATGACGGAGGTTCTCACGTCCTGTGCTATCACCTGCAGAAAAAACTTCACGGTAAGTCAGAATCGCTAGCGCTGGCACTTCTTGTTTTTTCTGTAGCATTTAACGCTTATTGAACGGAGGATCGAACCTACAGAATAGGTTTAAGGCTTGTTTCTGAATATAATAATATAGTTTATATATAATTAATAACCATAAGACCTCGATCAATTAAACCCTCTGATAAGAGATCTGAAGCTAACCTTCTTAGGATCAAATCTGGCTACCCGCTCTTCTACTGGGGGCGCACACGTCTCGCCCATGGTTTTATAATTACCGGGGTGACTGTAGGGACCTCGGGGAACTTTCAGAACACTTTTTACAGTAATAATTTAATGGGGTTTTAATTTTCTGGTTATTGTTTGGTGCCACAATATTTCTGTTGTGTGTTTGTTACTCTGATTGTTGATTTTATCCTTGATTTTGTGTTGTTTACGTCTACAAAAACTAGAAACTAGACATCTACAAAAAAACTAGCTATGTACAACACAACTTAAAGTGATTGACATCTGTCAGAGGGGAAGTACTAATGATTGGCACCTGTCAGAGGGGAAGTGCTAATGATTGGCACCTGTCAGAGGGGAAGTACTAATGTGGCACTGTCAAGGAATCTATTTGGCACCTGTCAGAGGGGAAGTACTAATGATTGACACCTGTCATGAGGGGAAGTACTAATGATTGCACCTGTCAGAGGGAAGTACTAATGATTGGCACCTGTCAGAGGGGAAGTACTAATGATTGACACCTGTCAGAGGGGAAGTACTAATGATTGGCACCTGTCAGAGGGGAAGTACTAATGATTGACACCTGTCAGAGGGGAAGTACTAATGATTGACACCTGTCAGAGGGGAAGTACTAATGATTGGCACCTGTCAGAGGGGAAGTACTAATGATTGACACCTGTCAGAGGGGAAGTACTAATGATTGACACCTGTCAGAGGGGAAGTACTAATGATTGGCACCTGTCAGAGGGGAAGTACTAATGATTGGCACCTGTCAGAGGGGAAGTACTAATGATTGACACCTGTCAGAGGGGTAGTACTAATGATTGACACCTGTCAGAGGGGAAGTACTAATGATTGACACCTGTCAGAGGGGAAGTACTAATGATTGACACCTGTCAGAGGGGAAGTACTAATGATTGACACCTGTCAGAGGGGAAGTACTAATGATTGGCACCTGTCAACAGGGAGAGACAATGATTGACACCTGTCGAGGGAAATACCATGATTGCATCCTGTCAGAGGAAGTACTATGATTGGACACTCAGGGAAGTGAATGATTGCACCTGTCAGAGGAAGTAGCAATGAATGAACCTGTTCAGAGTGGGAAGTACTAATGATGCACCTGTCAGAGGGAAGTACAATGCCTCCCTGCAGGTAGGCATAGTCTTTTGCACCACTGTCAAGGATACTAATGATTGACACCTGTCAGGAAGTACTATGATTGACACTTCAGAGGGACAGTACTATGATGCACCGCAGAGGAATACAATGATTGACACCTGTCTAGAGGGGAATACTAATGATTGCACCTGTCAGGGAGTACAATGATTGCACCTTCAGGGGAATACTATGTGACACCTGTCACCAGGAAGTACTTGATGCACTGTCAGAGGACGTACTAATGTTGCACCTATCCAAGAATACTACACCTGACTTGCATCTGTCTAGAGGCAATACTATGATTGGCACCTTCAGAGGGAAGTACTAATGATTGGCACCGTCAGGGAAGTACTAATTTGCACTCAAGGAATACTAATGATTGCACCTGTCAGGGAAAGTACTAATATTGACACCTGTCAGAGGAATACTATATTACTACCTTCAGTACAGATTTCACCTGTCAACAGATAGCCGATGCACTGCGCCGAAATAAACCTACGTTTCTACTTGTACAGTGGTCTGGCACAAGAGTTCCCATTACTGTAGTATCGCAAGATACTTTATTGGGTGGGCAATCAGCTCTTCTCCTCCACAGACCTCCCTGCAGGTAGGCCTGTCTTCCTCCATACCAGGTCTTGCCTGCTACCATCTTGTGCCTACCAGCTTGCGACTACCAGTCTTGCTGCACTACCATCTTGCTGCTACCAGTTTCTGCCTACCAAGTCTTGTGACCTACCAGTCTTGCTCCAATGTTCCTGTCCTACAGTCTTCTGCCTACCAGTCTTGCTGCTACCAGTCTTGCTGCCTACCAGTCTTGCTGCCTACCAGTCTTGCTGCCTACCAGTCTTGCTGCCTACCAGTCTTGCTGCCTACCAGTCTTGCTGCCTACCAGTCTTGCTGCCTACCAGTCTTGCTACCTACCAGTCTTGCTACCTACCAGTCTTGCTACCTACCAGTCTTGCTACCTACCAGTCTTGCTACCTACCAGTCTTGCTACCTACCAGTCTTGCTACCTACCAGTCTTGCTACCTACCAGTCTTGCTACCTACCAGTCTTGCTACCTACCAGTCTTGCTACCTACCAGTCTTGCTACCTACCAGTCTTGCTACCTACCAGTCTTGCTACCTACCAGTCTTGCTACCTACCAGTCTTGCTACCTACCAGTCTTGCTACCTACCAGTCTTCCCGCCTACCAGTCTTCCTGCCTACCAGTCTTGCCACCTACCAATCTTCCTACCTACCTTGCTACCTACCGATCTTCCTACCAGTCTTCCTACCTACCTTTCTACCTACCAATATTCCTACCTACCTTGCTTCCTACCAATCTTCCTACCTTGCTACCTACCAATCTTCCTACCAGTCTTCTTACCTACCAATCTTCCTACCTTGCTACCTACCAATCTTCCTACCAATCTTCCTACCTACCTTGCTACCTACTAATCTTCCTACCTACCTACCAATCTTCCTACCTACCTTGCTACCTACTAATCTTCCTACCTACCTACCAATCTTCCTGCCTACCTTTCTACCTACCAATCTTCCTACCTACCTTGCTTCCTACCAATCTTCCTACCTTGCTACCTACCAATCTTCCTACCAGTCTTCTTACCTACCAATCTTCCTACCTTGCTACCTACCAATCTTCCTACCTACCTTGCTACCTACCAATCTTCCTACCTACCTTGCTACCTACCAATCTTCCTACCTACCTTGCTACCTACCAATCTTCCTACCTACCTTGCTACCTACCAATCTTCCTACCTACCTTGCTACCTACCAATCTTCCTACCTTGCTACCTACCAATCTTCCTTGTTTTATTTACCATTAAAAGAATCGCAGTTTTTGTTGATCTTGATAATAGCAATATTTTGGGAAACGTTTCGCCAGCCTAGCAGGCTTGGTTAGTCCAATACAAAGGTATTTGCCTGCTGGACAACATTGATCACCATTAAGGACACCCAAGTGTTACAAACTCATCACCTTCCCATTATTATATACCAATTATTTATCAGTTACTATGTTACAAATGTTACCACTATTATTACTATTATTATTGCTATTGTTATTACTATTATTTATGAGACGGTAAACTCCCGGATCTGTGAAGTTTATGGTGTGTTTTCCCCGAGTACATTCATAGGTATGAGTAACACTTAATTACCACTTGCAGGAGCCATTAAAGTGGAACTGGGTAAGGGGATGCGCTACCTGCAGAAGGTGACTGAGAGGGGCAGGATGGTCCTCCCCTGGCTGGAGAAACTGGAGCTGGATTATTCCAAGGAGAAAGATCCCGTCAAGCTCAAGACTGGAGATAATGCGCAGCTTCAGGTACGACTCTCGCCTCCAGTTCCTCGGATTAAGAGCCCCTTGCCAGCACCAAGACTTCTTGATTCCTTATTCTTAAAAATTAACAGATTTGTTGTTCCATATAAATCAATCTATATTTGTCACCACCTTGAGTGTCCTTACTAATCATGATAGTGAGGGGCTCTTGATCCAGGGAATTTGACCTATTTTTCTCTAATTGAACGTGATTACCTTCTAGTTTCCCAGGTGGTTTATGATCCCCTGTGGATTTAGAGCTTTCTTGTGAATGGTCAACTCGTTTTTGATTGCAGTTAACGACTGTTATTGAATATAATTACTGAAATGGGCTCAAAATGTGCTTCTGGTGTGGGGAAGTGCCCTGGCTGGTGTGTGTGTGTGTGGGGGGGGAAGTGCCCTGGCTGGTGTGGTTGTGTGGTGGGGGGGGGGGGGGAAGTGCCCTGGCTGGTGTGTGTGTGTGGGGGGGGGGAAGTGCCCTGGCTGGTGTGTGTGTGTGTGGGGAAGTGCCCTGGCTGGTATGTGTGTGGGGAAGTGCCCTGGCTGGTGTGTGTGTGTGGGGAAGTGCCCTGGCTGGTGTGTGTGTGTGTGGGGAAGTGCCCTGGCTGGTGTGTGTGTGGGGAAGTGCCCTGGCTGGTGTGTGTGTGGGGAAGTGCCCTGGCTGGTGTGTGTGTGGGGAAGTGCCCTGGCTGGTGTGTGTGTGTGTGTGGGGAAGTGCCCTGGCTGGTGTGTGTATGTGGGGAAGTGCCCTGGCTGGTGTGTGTGTGGGGAAGTGCCCTGGCTGGTGTGTGTGTGTGGGGAAGTGCCCTGGCTGGTGTGTGTGTGTGGGGAAGTGCCCTGACTGGTGTGTGTGTGTGGGGAAGTGCCCTGACTGGTGTGTGTGTGTTTGGGGAAGTGCCCTGGCTGGTGTGTGTGTGTGGGGAAGTGCCCTGGCTGGTGTGTGTGTGTGGGGGGAATTGCCCTGGCTGGTGTGTGTGTGTGGGGGGGAATTGCCCTGGCTGGTGTGTGTGTGGGGGGGGGAAGTGCCCTGGCTGGTGTGTGTGGGGGAAGTGCCCTGGCTGGTGTGTGTGGGGAAGTGCCCTGGCTGGTGTGTGTGTGGGGGAAGTGCCCTGGCTGGTGTGTGTGTGGGGGGAAGTGCCCTGGCTGGGTGTGTGTGGGGAAGTGCCCTGGCTGGTGTGTGTGTGTGTGTGTGGGGGAAGTGCCCTGGCTGGTGTGTGTGTGTGGGGAAGTGCCCTGGCTGGTGGTGTGTGTGTGTGTGTGTGGGAAGTGCCCTGGCTGGTGTGTGTGTGTGTGGGGAAGTGCCCTGGCTGGTGTGTGTGTGTGGGGAAGTGCCCTGGCTGGTTGTGTGTGGGGAAGTGCCCTGGCTGGTGTGTGTGTGTGTGGGGAAGTGCCCTGGCTGGTGTGTGTGTGGGAAGTGCCCTGGCTGTTGTGTGTGTGTGGGGAAGTGCCCTGGCTGTTGTGTGTGTGTGGGGAAGTGCCCTGGCTGGTTGTGTGTGTGGGAAGTGCCCTGGCTGGTGTGTGTGTGTGTGTGGGAAGTGCCCTGGCTGGTGTGTGTGGGGGAAGTGCCCTGGTTGGTGTGTGTGTGTGTGTGTGGTGTGTGTGTGTGGGGAAGTGCCCTGGCTGGTGTGTGTGTGGGGAAGTGCCCTGGCTGGTGTATGTGTGTGGGGAAGCTCCCTGGCTGGTGTGTGTGTGGGGAAGTGCCCTGGCTGGCGTGTGTTTGGGGAAGTGCCCTGGCTGGTGTGTGTGGGGAAGTGCCCTGGCTGGTGTGTGTGTGTGTGTGTGTGGGGGGGGAAGTGCCCTGGCTGGTGTGTGTGTGTGTGTGTGTGGGGGGGGGAAGTGCCTGGCTGGCGTGTGTTTGGGGAATTGCCCTGGCTGGTGTGTGGAGGAAAGTGCCCTGGCTGGTGTGTGTGTGTGTGTGTGTGTGTGTGTGTGTGTGTGTGTGTGTGTGTGTGTGTGGGAAGTGCCCTGGCTGGTGTGTGTGGGGGAAGTGTACTGGTTGGTGTGTGGGGGGGGAAGTGCCCTGGTTGGTGTGTGTGGGGGAAGTGCCCTGGCTGGTGTGTGTGGGGGAAGTGCCCTGGCTGGTGTGTGTGTGGGGGAAAGTGCCCTGGCTGGTGTGTGTGTGGGGGAAAGTGCCCTGGCTGGTGTGTGTGTGGGGGAAAGTGCCCTGGCTGGTGTGTGTGTGTGTGGGGAAGTGCCCTGGCTGGTGTGTGTGTGGGGAAGTGCCCTGGCTGGTGTGTGTGTGGGGAAGTGCCCTGGCTGGTGTGTGTGGGGAAGTGCCCTGGCTGGTATGTGTGTGGGGAAGTACCCTGGCTGGTGTGTGTGTGTGGGGAAGTGCCCTGGCTGGTGTGTGTGTGTGTGTGGGGAAGTGCCCTGGCTGGTGTGTGTGGGGGAGGTGCCCTGGCTGGTGTGTGTGTGTGGGGAAGTGCCCTGGCTGGCGTGTGTGTGGGGAAGTGCCCTGGCTGGCGTGTGTGTGTGGGGAAGTGCCCTGGCTGGTGTTTGTGTGGGGAAGTGCCCTGGCTGGCGTGTGTGTGGGGAAGTGCCCTGGCTGGCGTGTGTGTGTGGGGAAGTGCCCTGGCTGGCGTGTGTGTGTGGGGAAGGCCCTGCCATGGAGGCTACAATAGGATGGCTTTACAAGGAGCACGTCCGTGGCGAGACCACAGTACTAATCATTTCGTTGTTATTAGGTGAGGAAATACAACGTTGTGGCCGAGATCTCCCGAGGCAGGTTCTCCGTCATCTTGAAGTGCGTCAGATCGGACGATCAACGCCAGTTCGTGGCCAAGGTGCTGGAGAACAAGGAGACTGACTACACTGCCAGGGAGGAGTACGAGGTAGCCAAGTTCCTCAGACACGAGAGGATTGTTCAACTCTACGAGGCTTATAGGTGAGTACCTTGAGGTATGTTCAAGGCACATTCCCCTAAGAAGAAAAGATGTAAACTTGAAAGAGAGAGAAAGATGCTCCCTCTCCAGGTGAAGACGGTGAATCAGATTATTATAATCAAAAAGAAGCGCTAATCCACAAGGGCTATACAGCGCTACAGTGAATCAGAGCTTCTCAAAGTATATTTTAAATACTGAAGGAGGCATATATATCTCTTAAAGAGATATTGATATAACTTCTGAGAGAACTGAGAGGTAAAGATTCTCTGTATTATTCCATCACCACCCTTACCACTTGTTCTTCCTCTCTTGGTCCCGTCCCTGTCTAGCTCGCCTGAATATACTGACTCCCTCTCTTGAGTTAAAGGTATATGAATCTAATTCTATGCTTTTTAAAGGGGTGGAAGGGTAAGCCAGTGGAAGGCCTCGGTCAGATAACCAAAAGCTCCAGCTGTGGGTCATCATATGACTACTACTCTCTTCAAGAAACACTTGTCCTGTTTCCCGACGTACCTTACCTAACCTTCTGTGTTAGTGACTTCGTAAATTGCCCAGGTCGGACAGAAATGTCGTAGTAAGCTTCTCTTTCCTATGTGCGGATTATTAGCTTATTATTGGACTCGGAACTAAGCGCTAAATTCACCAGGGTCATAGAGCGCTGCCGGGCGGGTTGTGTTAAAGAAGAAATATGTGAAAATTAGACACCAGAGATGGTTAGAAGTATGCAAGAGTGCTCAATAATTGCTTCTATCATCACGCATGAGTTGTATGGGTGTGGGATGGGGTGTATGGTGAGTGTTGACTGGCAGACAAATGAGTGGGGTAGTGGCGAGTAGGGTAGTGATACGGACGGGTGAGTGAGTAAACAACTCCAGTGTCTCTTTCGGCTAGCAGCAGTGTTTCGGCGTCTTTTCAGTGTAAACACATTCATGGGTGTTTCTGAGGCTGTGAACACAGCTGTTACCCTTCATAAACACGGTCCCTTCCTCCTCCCTTCCCAACGTAAACCTTCAGAAACTATCTCAACTGTGCCGGTGTAACGGACCTTCCACTAGGCTATAAAACTAGTTGATCCCACGTTCGATTCTTCGTGCAGTGAGCACTAATAGCTGTTTTTCAATTAGTTGGTCCCCTTAAGTGCTTTTTTTACACCCAGCCTTTATTGTTCTTAGTGTAAAAAAAAATTATTTTTCACGTTTTCTTACAAATAAATCACATTGTTGTGCTGAAGTCAGATTTTAGGACTATTTTTGGGGGGAAAAATTAACTAATTCATTTTGTTTTTTAAATTTTGTGTGCACGCTCCCACCAAAAATACCGCCCTCCCCCCTTTGATTGGTTTACCATTCGTTAAATCCGTATAATGTAGTTTACATACCTATGACGTGCCTGCCTTAAAGTTCTACCTAAAAAAAATATTGTACCCAAAAAAAGTGTTTTTAAGTTCTATATAAAATTTATTTATGTAACCATAACATCGCCCAAGTTCTATGTAAAAACAATTTTTGTATCCCAAGCCTTAACAAAATATAATTACACAGGGTCTTCCCTCCTATTGCAGTGTGAGCAGTGTAATGGTGTTGATTATGGAGCCCCTGTCAGGTGTGGATATACTGACGTATCTGGCCATGCAGTATGAATACTCTGAACAACACGTGGCCATCGTGGTCACTCAGGTGAGTAAACCGGTAGATAGTTGAGGAAACTGGTAGATCAGATGATTTACAATTTTCTTCAGGTCTTATTTGTGTAATGTCTTGTTAACTTTTCGGTGTCGTATACCATCACTGCGTCACCCGTGCAAAATACCAGAAGACTGTATACGAAACAGCAGCAGTATGGAACGTTCCCTTATGTTCTTATGTTTACTAAACTCCGTGTTCACCTGCAGGTACTGGACGCCCTCTCGTACCTACACTGGCGCGGGTACTGCCACCTGACCTTCAACCAGACAACGTTGTGCTCACGTCTACTCGCCGCTGTGACGTCAAGCTGGTGGACTTGGGCAGTGCTCAGAAGGTCTCCAAGCTGGGTTCCACGGTGCCCCTCAGCGGACTTCTCGACTATACTGGTTAGCATCAATTAACAAACTCCCTTTCTCCTACGTACTCTAACCTGAACCTCACAGACCTCATAAAATCTCTTAACTGCTTTCAGTAAACTACCACTCCATACACTTGCAACGTCTGCCTCATTACTCCGCTCTCCACCCCATTATATGCCTTTTCCAAATCCATAAATGCGAGGTAAACCTCTTTACTCTTGTGTAAATACTATTCACCTATAATCTTCACTGTAAACACTTGATCTACACACCCCCTACCCTTCCTAAAGTCTGTGTTCATCTGCCATCTTGCATTATTTTGAACAGATAACTTCCTAAGGTTTACCCAGTACCTGGGGATGAGAGGCAGTCTGGTTTGGTCCAGGGAAGCCAAGCTTCTTGATAGAGTAGTCAGCATCATTCTATCCCCACACACGTCACTCGGGTATATTATTACACTCAAAAGTTAGTGCTAAACCCACAAGGGTCATATAGAGCTTTGTAAAGTTCTTTTTCGCTCTGTAACTAGCTTTATCAAGTCGTTCTTTACTCTTATTTTGCTCTGTATTGTTATAATTAATATAAGTGTAAATTCAACAGTCATACAGCGCTGATTCTGCTCTGTAAAAGCCTTCTTAGTCATTTTCAACGACCTTAACATAACGATACATTGTCCCAATAGAACTTTATCCTTCCAAGTGTCTGTTCTTCGGCCTTGTCCCCAGCACAGCATTCACTTCCCACGTCACTCATGCCTGTCCCCCTTCCACAGCTCCTGAAGTGCTGTGTGACCAGCAAGCGTTCCCCAACACCGACATCTGGTCCCTGGGCACTCTCGCCTATCTCCTGCTCTCTGGCACCAGCGCCTTCAGAGGGGAGGACGAAGACGAGACCAAGGCTAACATCCAGTTCGTGAGGTACAGGTTTGAGAACCTGGCAGCCAACACCACACAAGAAGCTATACGTTTTCTCATGCTCATCTTCAAGAGAGACCCCAGGTAACTGCAGCTAATGTTCACTGGGAAAGGGGTATACCCGTAGAGGTCAAATAATAGGTGAGGGGTGAAAGTTAGGCCTGCATTTCTAGGGGTCTGGAGTCCTTTAGGATCAGTGAACCGAAGTTGGAGATTCTTTTAAGTATATTTAGTGTATGGATAAACAAAGGGACGGGAGGCTCTAACTCTGGTTCCAATATTAACTGGTTAACCTTTGTTTATTCAACAGTCTTTTATTACGACTGAGTTCATATTAGCGAATTCTTAGAGAAAGAACTACATGCGTATGGGGTAATTTAGGAGTAGAGTAGCTGGTCGAGAGACAAGAGTTAAAACCTACCCAGCATGGGCCAATAGATGTGTTGCAGAGCCGCTGCCTCCTTGTTGTGTGTGAGTTGGTTATCACTGGTGTGTGGGACGAGGGTGTTGGAATCTTTAAAACTAAATTAGGAATGTACATCTGGAATCCAGTTCCCTGATGAGATTTTGAAATTGGGTTTTTATTTCTATAAGGGTAGCTTCAGTTGGTTTTTCTTTTTAGGTTACCTTCTGTATATAATTCAACTTTGTTCCAATTTATCCAATGTTTGGTGATTTTTTACGGGTTGGAACAAAACTTCCGTCCTTTCAGACCTTTGTGTTCCACAATCCTGGTTGGAAGTTGGCGCACTCTTCCCTGTGTAGAAAAAGGTTTTGTCAGAATATTTGGTATATCCCATTTTCTCCTAAAGTATTGGTTTCAAAGGGTGGGGGATTCTTCTGAGAAAATTGTCTTATTTAACAGGATTAAGTGAGAATTGTGTTGATTAAATGGTTTGCTTCTCTCCAATATGTCATTGTAGAAGGTTATCAGCACTGCATGACCCTTCTGGATTTAGCACTTAGTTATGATTATTATAATCATAACTAGGCACTAAAGCCACAAGGATCATGGTTATAATAATAGTTTAGAAGGATATGGTTAATTTGTCGGGTGTTTGGAAGTTGGCATCTCTCTCTAATGTTTTTGCTTGACTTCATGTTAACCTTCCTGGATGCCCTGACTGCTGTGAAATGTGTAATGCTGTACATTGGATCCTATGAACTCCAACTGTGGAGAATTGTGTACAAACCCGGCTATTATGCCATCACCCTGACTACTACATCCAGGAAGGTGTACCAAACTTATAAGCACCACGGCGTAATAGCGCACAAAATGCGTGCTAAAGGAATAACAGGAAAAGTCGGTCAATAGATCTATAATTTCCTCACTAACAGAACACAGAGTAGTAGTAGTCAACAGAGTAAAGTCCGAGGCAGCTACGGTGAAAAGCTCTGTTCCACAAGGCACATTATTCGCTCCCATCTTGTTCCTCATCCTCATATCTGACATAGACAAGGATGTCAGCCTCAGCACCGTGTCTTCCTTTGCAGATGACACCCGAATCTGCATGACAGTGTCTTCCATTGTAGACACTGCAAGGCTCCAGGCGGACATCAACCAAAACTTTCAGTGGGCTGCAGAAAACAATATGAAGTTCAACGATGAGAAATTTCAATTACTCAGATATGGTAAACACGAGGAAATTAAATCTTCATCAGAGTACAAAACAAATTCTGGCCACAAAATAGAGCGAAACACCAACGTCAAAGACCTGGGAGTGATCATGTCGGAGGATCTCGCCTTCAAGGACCATAACATTGTATCAATCGCATCTGCTAGAAAAATGACAGGATGGATAATGAGAACCTTCAAAACTAGGGAGGCCAAGCCCATGATGACACTCTTCAGGTCACTTGTTCTATCTAGGCTGGAATATTGCTGCACACTAACAGCACCTTTCAAGGCAGGTGAAATTGCTGACCTAGAAAATGTACAGAGAACCTTCACGGCGTGCATAACGGAGATAAAACTCCTCAATTACTGGGAGTGCTTGAAGTTCCTGAACCTGTATCCCCTGGAATGCAGGCGGGAGAGATACATGATTATATACACCTGGAAAATCCTAGAGGGACTAGTACCGAACTTGCACACAAAAATCACTCGCTACGAAAGCAAAAGACTTGGCAGACGATGCAACATCCCCCCAATGAAAAGCAGGGGTGTCACTAGCACGTTAAGAGACCATACAGTAAGTGTCAGGGGCCCGAGACTGTTCAACTGCCTCCCAGCATACATAAGGGGGATTACCAACAGACCCCTGGCAGTCTTCAAGCTGGCACTGGACAAGCACCTAAAGTCGGTTCCTGACCAGCGGGGCTCGTATGTTGGTTTGTGTGCAGCCAGCAGTAACAGCCTGGTTGATTAGGCTCTGATCCACCAGGAGGCTTGGTCACAGACCGGGCCGCGGGGGCGTTGACCCCCAGAACTCTCTCCAGGTAAACTCCAGCTCCTAAAGAAACAGAATCGAAATTAGACAACCCCTCCCCTTTTTAGTATTATCCTGGGGAGCGCTTAACTCGAAGAATTGATCAATCAGATGCTTGATGGAGTTGTCGCACCTAGTAATTCACCCTGGAACTGCACCCTTGATTCTAGTACCTAAGGACAGTACTTGGCGCCCAGTGATTGACTTTAGAAAGTTAAATGCGATAACTATTCCAGATCGCTTCCCACTTCCTGTACTTGGTGACCTTTTACGTAACATCGGAGATAAGTCTTTTCAACCCTGGACTTGTTACAAGGATTTTGGCAAGTCCCTCTTCACGAGGACAACCAAGAGCTAACTGCATTTTCCACTCCTACAGGTCATTATCATTTCCTCCGTATGGCCTTCGGTTTACAATCTTCGCCTATCACATTGTCGAGGCTCACACTGATATCTTTAGAGGCCTCATAGGTAACGCACTTACTGATGTACTTAGATGACGTAATTGTTGCCTGAAGACGTGGATATGCACTTGAAAAGACTCAATGTAGTACTTGGTAAGATTGAAGAAGCCAATTTAAAGATTAAACTAAGTTTCAATTTTTCTGATTAGAAATAGTGTCTTGGTCACGTAGTCGCTCCTAGAGGGGTTACGACTGACCAAAGTAAAGTAACTGCAGTATTAAATTTTCCATCTCCCAAAACTGCTGATGCCGTAAGATCCTTTGTGGGCTTAGCAGGTTTTTATAGATCTTTCATTGCTAATTTTTCTTCTATAGCAGCTCCTCTGAGTTGTGCAAGAAAGATGCGTCTGTCGTTTGGACTTCCGTCAAGAACGAGCATTCCAAACTCTTAAAGAAAAGCTAACATCTACTCCAATTTTGAAATTTTTCTAACCCTTTCTATCTGACAACTGATGCTAGTTCAAGTGGCATAGGTGCCGTACTAGCTCAGAAGACCGATGGCAAGTACAACTTTGTTGCATTTACTAGCAGAGTCCTTACAAAGGCTGAATGTAATTACACAGTAACTGAGCAAGTAGCCTTAGCAGTAGTATGGTCTTTGAAGCACTTCCGAGACATTATATACCGGTACTCTGTTCATGTCTTGACAGACCATACTCCATTGATACCTTTATTCCAGAACAAATAACCTATTGGAAGGTTAGCCAGATGGTCTTTGACTATTGAAGAGTTCAACCCTACCTTTGAACACTTACTTGGCAAGTCAAATGTAATTGCAGATGCTTTATCATGACATATTATGTTAACTGCAGTCCCTCCATTTAGTGCCGAGGATGTAAAGAATGCTCAAAGAACAGATCCCATGTGGTCTGGTGTGATTCAGTTCCTGCTCCAGGAAGATCTTATTCTGACTGTGAAGCCACCAGCACCCATCAGTAACTTTGTCATGAACCAAGAATTACTGTATTGCACAGCTAGGTACTCCTAGCAGACAAGTAGTTAGTAATTCCAATCACTAGCCTTACAGCTAATTTACGATATATGTACTAGGTGCTGGGCACCCTGGTATGGATTATTCTGTAAAAAGCCAGATTGAAATACTTTTGGCAACTGATATTTCTGAGCATGTTAAGATATGTAGTGTCTGCATGCAATATAAAGGCAGTGTTAATGGTCCTAATCCAATCCAGGTGTATCCAACTACTAGCTAACCATGGGAAAGAGTTGCACTAGATCTGTTAACTAATTTCCAATGTTCCCTCCAGGGCAACAAACATCTGTGTTGTGGTAGATCATTTCACCAGATATTGCGAGCTACACAAATAACCCGCACAGAAAAGAGAGAAGCTTACGACGACGTTTCGGTCCGACTTGTGTGACTTTGTCAATGGTCCAAGTCGGACCGAAACGTCGTCGTAAGCTTCTCTCTTTTATGTGCGGGTTATTTGTGTATCGTTCCAGTCACGGTATTGCCTTTTTTGTTATTGCGAGTTAGTTCCTTTTGCAGATAAGACTGCCGAGACAGTAGCTGAAGCATTGAAAGAACGTATAATCTGCAAGCATACCACTCCGAAGTCCCTAGTAACCGATAATGGAGGTGAATTCTGTAATAAGATTCTTGAATATTTGTGTACTTTGTACAAGATCTCTAAACCAACCATTGTTCCCCACCATCTTGCCAGTAATGGGTTAGCGGAAAGAACTAATAAGAAAGTACTTGATGTCTTGAGAGCCACTATCAATCCCAGTAGTGAAACTTGGATGAAGTTATACCTGATGTTCGGTATGCAATAAATTCTGCTTACAGTGCTTCTATAGGTGACACTCCACATTATGCGTTGTACGGTGTAGATAAGCATTTGCCTTATAGTTAGAATATAACTCAAAACCAAATTACAACCCTGATGAATTCATAACAACTCAGCTCAGTGCTATTAGAAGAATCTCTGAAATACTTCATAAATCAACAGCAGAATATACAAGTCGCTAATACTTGACCAAAGCCGACCAAAATTAAAGTAGGTTCGAGAGTTATGCTGACTAATAAAACATCTGCAATGCCTAAGCTCGATCAAAAGTTTGTTGGTCCTTATTGAGTAGTTGAACATATCAATGGCAATAAGTATAAGGTTAGAGAAATTAGTACTGGTCAGTATAAAGAATCGCATTTAGATCATATGAAGTTAGTATGCAATGATAATGATGTTCCTACCCAGACTAATGTGACAGACTCTGACAATCATCCTGACTCTGTACCCTCTACCTCTAATACTCAGTCAAACGATCAGCCTAAATGTTGTTCTCTACGTACACGACGGTATTGAGAAATCCTCAAGTATTATTTGTAAATACCAATTCAGATCTGCCTTAACCACAGCAACAGAGTTTGATTCTCCCAGAGATAATAACCATTCTGCATATGTAAATGTCGCCCTAGCAGAGTTGGCGTTAAATGTAAATAACCTGTATAGATGAATAATATAGTTTAAAATGTATTTCAACTGTCTGTTCCTATATCAACTTAATAATATTCAAGAAATTTTTGTGTGTTCACGTTCTCTCCGAATTCTGAGATTTAACAGTCTAGATTTGAGTGCACCAAGTCTGCCTTTTCTGTTAAACATTTCCTTCCTCAGAATCCGTAGATCACATGAATACAGATCGATTGATCAATTTTTTTTATCACTTTTCCTGTATAATCCCACTGTCAAGTCCATTATTCCTGTGAATTGTGATATATCATACCTTGTAATGCATTACAATAAGTTCCATTACATTAGCTTCCATCCCAATAATATCCTTATGTATGTTATAATTTTCAACTGTTGTGTATTTTGACATTGTATAGAATCAGCCCAGAGCCGTACGCCTCTTGCCTCTAGTTTGTATTAGCTGTATGTCGGGATGCCATATGTTAGTGTCACCGAGCTCTCAGTAGTATGCAACTCATACCAACCGTTATTAATTCACCATCTTACGTGATCACTGACCATCATTGAGTCATTCTGCTGACTATAGCATGATGTTTGAATGCTACTCGCCCTACAGTCATGATATAACAGTTCAAGTTGAGACGTTAGAGAGAGAAAGACAGGTCATGCTTGGCACTCCTATAGTACCCATAATTATAAGTTACCAGCCGTCCGAAGTGTGTTTTTACCCAATTCCAGCATTCGAACCCCAAACATGTGGGGGGCATTCAGGCTTAAGTCAGACTTGGAGCACAGATCCAGTGCCCCTCACCAGGAATAGACTGTATTAGGATTAAAAAAAGGTCCAGTGGCAGAATAAAGTGTAATTGTTCATGTTCGTCTTGCTCCCAGAGTAAGAAATTTGCTTTTCAACCTATAAGTTAGTAAGACAATGTGGAGTCTGTGGCTTTCGGAAATTTCGACTACCAGGGTGTACAGAGAAATGAATGAAAATTTATATGTAATGGAGAGACGTGAGACGAGGTGTAGAGATGTGATGTGACCTGTAGTACTGTTACTCTGCTAAGTGGTCAGTCAGCAGACTTAATTTTACATAATATCAATGCTGTGTCTGGTGAGAATAAGTCTCGCCAATGTCTGAAATGTGTAATGATCCTAATTTGTGTGGTGGTGGTAGACCTGGTTACCAGAGTAGATTCCAATACAGTTTTTATGTCTACTTTCTTGATAAGTTTAGTGTTGTAAAAGATGAGAAGGTTCTGTGTTGCTGTGAATTAGTCATTGTTCATATCTGTGGTGCCTCAATGTTGAGGTTCCTGCAAGTTTCAGCTACGTAAAACCTGTCATAACTTTCCCAGGGACCATGTAGATGGCAGCACTGTCTTTGAATGTCGCTTTCTTTAAATTGTTTATGGTGTAGAGACTGTTATTGTTGTCAGCTAGAACTCTGCCTGCTGGGGTCGGGATCTTGTCTGGCAGTGTCTAGTATTTTTTCTTCCTGCAGTCAGTCATGGTTTCAGGGACAGCAAATTTAAGGTTCATTATTGTTGTCCCCAAAACCATGACTGACTGCAGGAAAAGAGAAAATACTAGACACTGCCAGACAAGACCCCGACACCAGCAGACAGAGTTCTAGCTGTCAACAAGACAACAATAAGTCAAACAATTTAAAGAAACCCACATTCAATGACAGTGCTGCCATCTACACGATCCACTGGGGAAGTTGACAGGTTTTACGTAGCTGAAACTTGCAGGAACTCAACACTGAGGAGCCACAGATAAGAGGTCTTTAAGTGATGATAGTCCCTGGTGGACGGAACTGTCTTCATATATGTAGGCAAATGGACCATTTAATCCAGTATATACCTTTGATGAGTTTCGAGTCTTCCTTGCATTGACTTTCTTTTTTTTCAGCAAACGGCCTAACGTAGAAGAATGTAGAGAACATAGATGGTTGATGGAGAACGACTTCCTAGCTAAGAAGAGAGAACGAGCCACATTCTTCGGCAGTAGACTCTGGGTGAGCTGACGGTCACTTTAATGGGGAAGTGGCATATCCTGAAGGAATATAACCCCTGGGTATATAAAGCTTGATCCGAGGAAGGGAAAGGGGTAACTAATTCCATGGGTAAGAGGCCTTCATTGCATCAAGGCAAAGCTCTTGAAGCATAAGAGGGATTACCAATAGACTCCTGGCTGCTTTCAAGATGGAGCTGGACAGACACCTAAACTCAGTACCTGATCAGCCGGGCTGTGGTTCATACGTTGATTGACGTGCGGTCAGCAGTAACAGCCTAGTTGATCAGGCCCTGATCCACCGCGAGTCCTGGTCAAAGACTGGGCCGCGGGAGCGTTGACCCCTGGACCCCCCCCCCCCCAGGTTTCTTAATTCTTTGATTGTCCTCTGATGTTGAAAAATGAAACTTGTGCAATATTTAAGAATGTTTATTATAGCAAGGTTTCGAAGCCAGTGGCTCTTCGGTCCAGAACAGAGAATTACGGCGGATGATTAGTAGTTTGAGGCAATTAGTCTCTCATCGTGGAGTCTACTCCAGGCTGAATATCTTAGATTCATCTTCTATCGTTCGTCTCTGTAACGGACTGAAAGAAGCCACTGGCTGGCGCAACCTTTCTGTATTATTCTCAGTCTCGTTTTTCAACCACTTGCATCACGCCCCTCTGATGTGTTGATCTTGTGTTGCAGGAGTACGACGCATCTTACCACAGAGGGAGAGCAGCAGTAGTTACCAAGTCTCCAGATTTGCTTAACTTCAATAACGCCAACCTTCCCAGTGTTTACGACCCCGACAAGCTGTCTGAGGTCTAGGACACCGCCGATGCCGCTTCTCCAACTCTCGTCTTAAGAGCTTCTCGCTGTCATGTCTTAGCAACAAGTGTCGATACTGAATAAATTTTTTTTTTTTTATTTTTTTTTTTTTTTTTTTTTTTTTTTTATCATTGCTGCATCGGGGACCTTTCCCGGTGGCCACTGGAGTGTGTGGGAGCAGAGACGACCATGATGGCACCATCTTCACATCTTTTGAAGACTTATTTTCTCGTCACAATCATTTCAGCCTCGCATTGCTCCTGACCTTCATGCTGTTGAAGTGAACTGTGTGAAGATCATACATACTCAATGGCGAGTTATTTAGCCATGGAAGCGCTGGAGGTGGCAGCTAGCCGTCGTGGACCCCAGATACTGACGCGGCGGACAGTGTGTGTAGTACTATCATATCCACATCCATGCTGTAAATCCGCCTGGAACATACCTCCAGTGTCGACACAGCTAGCTTCAAGACAAGAGAATGGTGTATCACGAACTGTTGACTGGATGGTGAACGAGTTTTGAAAGAAAAATTTACAATGTCCTCTGTGTTAGTGCAAGTGTCGAGCTCTATAAGGGAAGGACTTTAACAAGCGACACATCCCTTTTGAGTTTTTTTCGTGCAGCGTTGTTGAAGTATCTGAACTCAGCGATAAGTCGTTCCTCTGTTTTGTATCGCACTCAGAGTACTGGAACATTTCATCTGACTTCGATGATCGTGTATCTTGTCCATCCTGGGTGCCGATTCCACTGGGTTACATGAAAGAGAACTACTGGTCATTAATAAGAGTTAAATATTTTGAAATGAATTTGTGTTCAGATAATTACTCGAGATGCTTAAAAAAAATAGTCAATTCAAAGTTACTTTTTATACACACAATATTTAACAGATTTTGGCGAGATAAGTTTTATTGAAACGTATTTCAACACTGTTCCTGTGACCTCGTCCAAACATCTATTTCAGGTCACAGGTATTATGACCTTGAGTTTATGAATGGTAAGAAACTAATCAGTAGATTCAGCACTGTCTCCAGGATACTTGGACTTAGGGAGGAAGAAAAGGTCGGATATTGATCAAATATCTTCAGAGATGAGAGAATAAGGTCCATAATTGGGCCATTTAGTGCGTTTGTGAGAGTTGAGTGAACCTGTGTGTGGTCTGGATTACTGTAAGAGTAAAACGAGATTAAAGGAAAAAATATCCACAGAGGAAGACCTTAACTTCGAAGAATCAATACAAGACTGGGAAATAGTCGTTAATCAAACTCTCCAAGGCAGGGAAAAAGAATGATAATTCCTTGAAGAGCTTTCTGGACAAGGTAATCTTGAAGATGTTAACAATGAGAGAGTATTTCAGACATTCGTTTACAGAGTTTTAATAAAACTCGAATAATGGCTTCAGTTATTATAAAGAGGTGAACCCGTATGGGTCACGAGCACAAGATACCTTCGAAGCAAGGTAACTGAATTTCACTGAAAATATTTTGGATAGGTTCTGACAGCAGTCAAGAGAGAATTTAACAGCATCTGTAGTGAAGTGAAATTAAAATTTCCTCAGAGAAATGTAACTACAGATCTCAGTCACCATAGTCAGCAGTAAAAGATTTTTCTAATGTATAGTGTGAGCACTATAAGATGATCTATTGTGTATGATAGTTATAGTGCTCCAGTGTTTGGGTTATTGTCCTGTGTGGTAACATTGTTCCTGTCATCGCTTATTTCTAGATTTCTGATTACTCATTATAGTGGCGTCATTCACGGCCGCGCTTGGCTATTGATTGACGCCAAGCAACTGCTTGTAAACAAAGATGTACAGAATATGGAACGAGAAAGATGTATTAGTTTTGATTTTTTGAAATACACATTGATGTCTTTTGACATGTTTTCACTGTCCTTAGCATCAGGGTTACCTTTTGTCTTGTCTAGGCGCGGGTGACTCACGACCATGAGCCTTCACAACCTGGTGCAGTACCCAGGACGTTTAGCTCTTGCGATGTCAATGATTTAGAAAACAGTCAAACTGAAGAACGAGACACTTTTGTAACTTCTATTGAGGTAACATTTTGTCACAGTGACTTCATCAGTCCTATACAAAGTAGTGCAAGACAGGTATACAATACCGACAAGATGAAAGTTAAGACACTTGTGAAACATCTAGTTATGTTTATTGTAGACGTTTCGCCATCCAGTGACTATCAATACAGATTCTTGAACATAATTAGAAAACAGAAGAACTATATACAAAAGATGAGGTAATCAGTCCCTCAGCCTTGGAGGTGGTATTTACAACACCATAGTTGTAGAGATTCAGAATCTACAACTATGGTGCTGTAAACACCACCTCCAAGGCTGAGGGACTGATTACCTCATCTTTTGTATATAGTTCTTCTGTTTTCTAATTATGTTCAAGAATCTGTATTGATAAAGTCACTGGATGGCAAAACGTCTACAATAAACATAACCAGATGTTTCACAAGTGTCTTAACTTTTCATCTTGTCGGTATTGTATACCTGTCTTGCACTACTTTGTATAGGACTGATGAAGTCACTGTCTGGTGAAACATTTCTTCAATAAAAATTCCTATGATGCTTAAGTGTCTCAAATCAACAAAAGAATGGTGGATGATGAGTTTGAGGTAATCAACCTCAACCATAAGGAAGGAGGAACACTGCAGCAGGCCTATCCCAAGCAATGAGCTTTGATAGTTCTATTTATCTGACCTAAATTTGAAACTAGCTAAGGTTTTAGCCTCAACAACCCTACTAGGCAGACTGTTCCAATCAACTATCCTACATCCTTTCTAAGTCTAAACTTGTCTTCAAGATTATCTAAAATCCCTCTTCCACTGAACTGAAGCCAATGGCTGGGGAAACTTCAGTAATGATCATATCTCCTTAGGGCTATACGAAGCCATGTCTGATACATTGTACTAACACACACGTGGAATATATGGTTATCTTCATTATAGACGTTTCGCCATCCAGTAGCTTTAATACAGACTCTAGGATATAATTTGAAGACATATTGTTTCGGACTATGAAACAATATTCTTCTCCAGACTGAGGGACTGACCACCTCAAAACTTCAAGGGTGATGGACTGATTACATCGTCTTCAAGTATCTTCTGCTTCTATCAACTTTTCTGTACTCGACTGAAGAAGCCTACTGTGTAGGCGAAACGTTTCGAAATAAAGATACTTAACTGTTGCATATATGTCTTACCTAACAATTTGAAGACAGTAGAACTATATACAAATGAGGTAATTAATCCCTCAGCCTTGGAGTTGGTGTGATGATTCTGGCGCTTTTGTACAATTCTGTTTTCGTCATGCCAAATAAGGACCGAAAACTTATTATAACTACTGGTGACACCTGGATCCCAGTTACTGGGATAACATTCCAGTACACTTCAGTCTTGTAGATGAATGGTTCAGAGAACCGACACGTTGATAAATTAGACATGTGCGACTCTTGGGTATTTTTATTGAGGAAACGTTTCGCCACACAGTGGCTTCATCAGTCCATACGAAGGAGAATCTTGGAGAGCGAAGTAATCAGTCCCTCAACCTTGAGTCGATGTGGTCAGTCCATCAATCTTGAATAGAATTCTATTCAAGATTGATGGACTGATGAAGCCACTGTGTGGCGAAACGTTTCCTCAATAAAGATACCCAAGAGTTGCACATATGTCTAATTTATCACACTTCACTCTTAAATTTTTAAAGCTACAGGATGGCAATACGCCTTCAGTAAAGATACCCAGATGTTACACATGTCTATTATTATTATTATTATAATCAAAAAGAAGCGCTAAGCCACAAGGGCTATACAGCGCTGCAGGGTAGGGAAGGAAGCGAGGGTATTGGGCGGCAGAAGGGAGGAGGGATGATCAGTAGGTTACAGAAAACAGCGGGGCAGGGGATAGTACGGGGGTAGAGGGTAGAAAGGGCTGAAGGTATCAGAATTTGTGAAGTAAGCCAGTTGTTGTCAAGAAGTGAGTCCGGATGAAAGGTGGGTCCATCAGCGAGAAGGGAAGGTAAAGAGAGAGCAGTGGAGCGAAGACGACGACGGAGGTAAATTCTGCGTGCTCGTTGATAAAGTGGGCAGTCTAACAGAATGTGGCTGACTGATAATGGAGCTTGGCAATTCTCACAGAGGGGAGCAGGGCGCCTCTCCATGAGTAAGACGAGTATGGCCAATGCGAAGACGGGAGAGAGTAGTCTCCCAACCTAGACACTGGTGATAAGAAGTCGGCCAGTAACCTATACTCGGTTTAATAGATTGAAATTTGTTACCGAGCATAGTAGACCAACGTTGTTGCCAACGGGTGTGAAGGTGGGAAGATATTGCAGCAAAATAGTCCGTAAATGGAATACCTCTATATGAAACTAGTAGGTCATGTACTACTGACCGCGCAGCAGTGTCTGCCTGTTCATTGCCCTGTACGTCAACATGACCAGGGACATAAAAAAACTATATCTTTATGCTTGGTAAAGATGCGGCATAGCTAAAGTTGGATACGGAGGACTAAGGGGTGAGGTGTATCAAATTTCTGTATAGTCTGTAAAGCACTAAGGGAGTCTGAGACAACCACAAATGATGACACATACATAGATGCAATACGGATAAGTGCTGCAAGGATGGCATACAATTCAGCAGTAAAAATACTAGCCGAAGGTAGTAAATGCCCTTGTACGACGCTGTCCGGAAACACTGCTGCGAATCCTATGCCGCCAGAAGACTTAGAGCCATCTGTGTACACAGCAATGACACGAGAATGAGAGTGGAAGTGGTCAAGAAAAAGAGAGCAGGAAGCAACCGTAGGCAGTTGGGCTCTCGAGCAAGGGAGAGAGAAAGAACAGACTCGAACAGCTGGAACTTCCCAGGGGGTAGGGAAAAGTGAGATGCTACATGAACATAGAAAGGTGGTAATTGAAGAGAAGACGAGCGAATGAAGGTGAAGAGAGAAGGGACGGAGTCAACAGGGGCGCCGAACAAATGTCTACTAATATCAGTGACCATTCTATAAATGGAAGGATTGCGGAGATCATGAGAGCGTTCATAGTAGTGAAGGCAATGGGTATCACGGCAATCGGATAAGGATGGAACGTTCGCTTCTGCATAGAGGCTCTCAACAGGGTAAGAGCGAAAAGCACCAAGGCATAAACGTAATCCTTGGTGATGAATGGGGTTAAGGCTAGAGAGTAGCAGGATATGCCGCTGAATAGATCTGGTCACCATAATCAAGTTTGGATAAAATGAGGGTGGAATGTAGGCGAAGGAGAGTTCGACGATCAGCTCCCCATGAAAGATGAGCAAGGGTTTTAAGAAGGTTCAGCCGGCTGTGACAGGTTGCCTTCAGAGAGGTAATGTGAGGTTTCCAGGATAACCTACAGTCAAAGAGGAGGCCCAGAAACTTGACTGTATCACGTTCAGGGATACGGGAGCCATAGAGGTACAAAGGATGATCGGAGATGACAGAGCGTCTAGTTAAAGTAATTTGGTGGGTTTTAGTGCTGGAAAATTTAAACCCATGTTTGGTGGCCCAATTGGAAACACGGTCGACTGCATGTTGGAGAGAAACTGTAATGAGGTGACAGTCAGCGCCTGCACAGGCAATAGCAAAGTCATCAACATAGAGTGATGACCAAATATTTGATGGAAGACTAGAGGCCAAATCATTAATAGCAAGGAGAAAAAGTGTTGTGCTCAGAACACATCCCTGGGGGACACCTTCAGCTTGGATCAAGTCCGGGGAGAGCACATTATTAACCCCAACACAGAAATGTCTATCAGTAAAAAAGTTCTTAAGGAAGGATGGTAGATTGCCTCGGAGGCCTAAGGAGTGGGCTTGGGCCAAAATATTATACCTCCAAGTTATGTCATATGCCTTCTCAAGGTCAAAAAATATGGCAATAACTGAGTGGCTATTCGCAAAGGCATTACGAACATACGTATCCATGCGTAGTAAGGGGTCTATGGTAGAACGTCCCTTACGAAAGCCATATTGACGAGTGGAGAGACTGTTGTGTGTCTCTAAACACCACACTAAACATCTATTTACCAGGCGTTCCATCACTTTGCAAACTGCACTGGTAAGAGCAATGGGACGATAGTGGTAGGCTTCATGTCCTGTAGTGCCTGGTTTGCGGAAAGGGAGAACAATGGCAGATTTCCACAGCTGTGGAAGAACTCCTTGTGACCAAATAAGATTGAGAAGGCATAATAGGACTGCAAGGGCTGACTGATGTAAATGTTGTAGCATACGAATATGAATGTCGTCGGGCCCAGCTGCCGATGATCGGGAAGCTGAGAGTGTTGCCTCCAGTTCTTGAAGTGTAAAAGGCACATTATACTGTTCTTCTCTGAGAGAAGAAAAGTCCAAGAGTGCTAACTCTCTGGCAGACTTTGAGGAAAGAAACGAGGGGCATAGATGAAGCCCCTGAGAAATACAGACCAGATGATTGCCAATTTCACTGGCAACATCTAGTGGGTTTGCTATATCAACACCAGCAACCCGCAGAACAGGAGCCGGGTCAGAATATTTACCACTCAGTTTTCGTACTTTTTTCCAGACTGCACTCATAGAGGAAGCAGAGGTGATGGTGGAGACATAATCTCGCCAGCAAGTGCGTTTAGCATCACGGATGACACATCGAGCGATCGCACGCTTCTGCTTAAAATCAAGAAGTCTCTCCATGATTCTATTGTACCGGTACCTTCCCCATGCAGCGCGTTTCAAACGTACTGCACGAGCACAAGCAGGAGACCACCAAGGCACGCATTTCTGAGAATGCCTGCCCGAAGTTTGGGGTATAGAATGAGAAGCTGCAGTTAAAACGGAGGACGAGAAGAGGTGTAAAAGCTCATCAAT